TCAGTGGCCCATCCTATCCATAGACCTACTATCCATTTTTTAAAATTCTAATTTACTGCCCTGTCTTTAGTTATACGTTTTAGGACGCATTTGCTATTAGAACGGTGGGTTGATTCAGTTGTTTAACTGGCTGTATTTTCTGATCAGAAAACAAACATGCAGTGTTTGCTCAGAGACTGGAGCACCTGCCGCACACCTGCCCTCAGACTTGCACGTGGCGCGAGGCTTTTGTTCCGACAAAGGGGCTGGTGTAGAATCCATTCAATGCGCACGTCTAGCCTGCCGGACGCTGTATTCAGCACCTATGCAATTAGGACTAGGGCCTGCAAAATAACGGACTATTGACTCTCGAAATCTAGGTTAGGCCTACTCAACTTGATAAACAACACATCATTTCATAGGCCTAAGAAACGTGGGGACATTGGTTCAAAACAGGGTAGTGTATAGGGCCATTTCTGTTGCAATCTGCACATTTTTATGACACTGCAATAGGCCATATAGCCCACTTATCGTTACTCCAGCTCCTTAAAATCATTTGGGTGTGATTTATTGCGAGTTTAGTTCACAGATATCACCTGCGGACTGAAAACGATATAAAGGCAGAGTGGTAAATTATGTAGAGCATTACTAAATGCCTACTGCTGCCACTGTGAAAAAGGACCAAAAAACATTTACACAACTATGACAATTTAAGTATTTCATTAATCATTTTACCAACTCTCCCAAGGGTGATTACTTAACACATTAATTCCATACTCTCAAAAGAGAATTAAATCAGTCTAGCTATATAGGCTTTATCCTGCTGATGGGGGTTTCCTCCCTCGATTCAAAGTAGGCTTACTGTAATTACACTTTTAAAGAGAGATGCTAAACTGAGTTTTATATGAACAGTTTATATGTGCTCTAAATTATGATAAATACATTTGTTGTTCTAACAATACTTCTACACAATGGTCTATATTTGAACAACCTTTCTGCTTTAGAGCTCTGGCCACACACTGCGATTTACAAACTCTTGAGCCATGAGTTAGACTATAAATATAGTCTGGTTGGGGGGAGAGTGTTAGTACAGTTGGGTAGTGGGATTGTGAATGGGATTATAATATTATGATATATAGCTGTATGCATTTTACACACGGAGGCCATGTGCCATGCCATGCATATCACGATCTGAAAGGACAATGTATTTATACTGTATGCCAGCAGCATGTCTGTTGTCTTATAATATGTTACTGTTATAAATACTCTCTGAATTCCATTCAAATCCCCAAACTCTCCAAACGAACCAAATTGCATATGCGTTTTAGTCCGTTTTAGTCTAGAAATATTCTATCTGAATTTGCTGTGAATATTAAGTCATAGGACTTAACGTCATAGTAATGTTTTAGGAACTAACATACTGTATTTGCATAAGCAGAAAGAGATTTGGAATTGAGATTTGAAATGTTGTGCACATTTATTCGAATTGACATTAGTCACATAAATCTCTTCATATCATCTTGACTATGAACTGAAAAAGATGCCCTGAGAATTGATGCCCTCAATTAGAACATGTTTGTTTCAGTCACTATAACTAAGCTAAGTTAAAACGTTCAGCCTCAAACCAGCTTTACGCACGTTTATGCACGGTCATTCATAAATCACACAGCAACAATAACGTTTCGTTTGACTACATATATTTCCATCTGATTTCATCTGAAATTAAATAAAGTCCACCTATTCTGTAAAGTGAAACTAATTTTAATAATAACAATGGTAAACTACATGTTTGCTACATGCAAACTAGGCTATGTTGTTCATTCAGATAGAGTATGCTTATTTATATAGATTTCAACTGTATTCCCAGAAAACCATAAGATGCGATATAGGCTAATTGAGGCTGACCCTTACCTTCACACAACAGCAGGAGGACCAAAACAATGTTTCCCAGAGAGAAACCACACGTTTGCCCCATAATCGCCAATCATAAGTGAAAGTTGCAGGATGAATAATCAAAAATCACGCGTAGAGACCACTGGTATAAAAGAACGGAAGAGACCCTATGGATAAGAATGTAAGCAAGAGTAATGTATTCGTTTTCCCGCACGCAGCTCCTCCAGACAAAAGATTAAGTACTTTGACGGAGTCCCTCTCCCATTGGGCTGGTCTCTGCAGCTTTTGCTGCTTGACCGTCTGTAGCGAGCAGTGCAAGGGGAGGTTTAAATCAAGCTAATATGCAGCGATGTATTTTCCGGTCCAGCCGGAGCAGCATACGCGATAGCATCTCTAAAAACTACTATATCACAGAATGTCAAATCATTAACACCCCCCACTAATTTTCCTATTAGTGCTAATGAAAAACATCTCAAATGTGCTGTGCTTTTTACTTCTCACCTCATGCCTCTTATTTGTGAAGTTTATTTTCAAATATGCTTATGTCATATGTTTAAGATTATTGGACATTATTAGACCTTACTTTTAGATTACTTAATGGTAGAATACAGGTATTGATAGGTCTATGGCCAAATGTTGAAAATACTGTATTGCCATCATAACTGAGCTGATCATAGGGCCCTAAAAGATCTTGAAACTCATACATCTCGAACCATCTGTTTATCAGTGATATGATAGATAGTAAGCTCTGTGAGTGTGCACACTTACTGAACTTCTGCCAATGTGTGGGTGGCAGGGTTTAGCTAGATGCTGTGTCAGGGCGCATAGTCCTCCATTGACGTATCCATTCCACTGGGGGCCCTGATACAGAAGACCCCCATTTGTTTCAAGGATATTTCATATGAGGTATGTTATGTCATGTATAACTTGTGACAGGTCATCATGACTGTCTCATTTGATGATGATCTTTATTTACAGTTTGGTCATTTAGCAAACACTCTTAACAAGAGAAACTTACAGTAGTGAGTGCATACATTTTCAAACTTTTTTCGTACTGGTCCCCTGTGGGAATCGAACCAACAACCCTGGCGTTGCAAGTGCCATGCTCTATCAACTGAACCACACGGGACCTCTTTATTTAATCCATTAGGACATTTCCCCTGTTGGCATTATAGGACAAACTTTTTTCATTTTTACCACCAGATATTCATTACACAAAGCCCCTAACATGAAGTAGGCTAATATACAGAGTTAAACGGAAACTGTCTGGCTGCTGTTAACAAGAGTCCAAGCCTGTGAGTGGGAGCTATGCTCTGTCTAAGCTGTGCTCTGTGTAGCTCAAACCCTTGCAAAGGGTTATAGTGAGAGCCGGCCCTTGTTACCCTCAGTTTGGGGAGTGTTTCTGATGTTGAAGACTTTGTGTCACATCTAGGATTACTCTCAGGCTGGCTGATTATCTTGGTTTCTGTGGAATGATGCATTACTCGACCCCCAGGGCAGCTGATATAACTCCACAACCAAGAACCTAGCAGACATTTTTTGAAATACGAATAGATTTTTTAAATATAAGTTGAAATTACAGTTTTCTTTCTGGGATATTTTGGGTAGCTGTGATGTCAGTGGGTGAATTGAGTGGTGTTATTTCCCTGATTTTGCATTAGTATGAGTGCAAGAGGTGATGTTCATATTAATGATAATCCTTAGTGAGCTGTCCATCTTGACCCCCATTAAAGTGCTGTCGCTCAGAGAGCAGATGGTGCACACACTCTCTGCCTAAGAGAGGTGGAGTGGCCATGGCAACAGACTCATAGTGGCTACCCTGGTGTAGGGGAATCGCTGGCTCTAATTTGTTGAGTACCACCTCAGATTGAATCACTATATTCAGTGCATAACACAACTGACATCAAGTAAAACATCCCGGGGTGTCCATACAGGACAATAAATCAGACATTTGCTTTCAATACAGTTCCACTTTTTAGTAATTGAGTCCATACCATTATCGGGAAGAGACTCTACACTCTTAGAAGTAAAGGTGCCTGGAAGAACCTTTTGGGTTGCAACACCGGCAGAACCATTCCAGTTCAAAAAGGTTCCTTGAGGAACCCCTCTGAAAATGGTCTTCAAGGAACACCTGTGTAAAGGTTCAAAACTGAACCTTTTTGTGATGGGAGGGGTTCGATTTTGAACCTTTTTAATAATATATTGTAGAGGTGCCAGTCTATCAGATTGGAGGTGTGGCTTTCAGATAGTTCTTTTTGGCCACCCGTTAGCGTAAATGTCATTCCTATTCATCATGTTAAGTTTGTACACTGCAAATGTAAAATTTTCTTGACTATTTATGCATATAATATAAACAATATTAACATTGCTGATTACTTATAGTAATAAAGTGTTAACTATTCCAATTTTGGGAACTCATACACCTCTGTTAGCCTCATTGAAGCTACACAACTGTCAGTGTTTAACCTTGACATGTGATGACAATACAACAGAACAGATGAAGAGAAATGACAATTACTCTAACAGGTGGCCAAAGAATTATCTATCTTAAAGCCATGCCCCCACTAAGCCACGCCTCCACTCCAGGGTACTCCAGGAACCCATAGCTACATTGAACCATTAAAGGTTCCTCCAAGAACCCCTCAAATAACCAAAGGTGCAAATATGAGTGTAACGTGGTTAGGTCTACCTGTCACGGATTCTGCCGAGGCTGCTCCTCCTCCTTGCTCGGGCAGGCTTCGGCGTTCGTCGTCCCCGGAGTACTAGCTACTGCCGATCGATGTTTCGGTGTTTGTCTTGTTCTGTCCTGAGTGGTTACACCTGTTGTCCATTATGTTTGATTGTAGATCCTATATTTACCCATGTCTCACGTTTGGTATTTGTGTGTTATTGTTTGTGTCTAGGCGGTATCGGCATCGCTTTTGTCGTATTACGTGTGTTGTGTTTTTCCTCCCGGTTCGGAGGTTTTGTATGTTCTTTACTATTAGTAAAGTACGTCTGCTAGTATCTCTGTGTCCTGCGCTTGACTTCACTCACCGCATACACGTCGCTTCTGACACTACCACATACAACATACCACTGTATACATTTTAATTCAATACATAGATAACCAAATTGTCCACTTATACACTTTCATATCAAATCAAAACAAACTTTATTTCAAGTGCATTTAAAATCACAACACACTTTACAGTAAAACAATAAAATCAAGCATTTGCAATAATTCTCACAACAATGGCTCAGAATGAAAGCAGACAGTGAATGAAAGGAGTTGGATTGTAGCGCTATTAGATTTTGAGAAAGAACTTCTTCCTGTATAACAGGTAAGCGATGAGGACCCAGAGGGAGGTGGCCCACAGGCTCTGGAACAGCTTCTCCCAGTGGCTGTCCACGAAGCGCATCTCCCAGCTGAAGGGGAAGTAGGACCCCAGGAGAGAGTGGCCCACGTACACAAAGATGGAGTTCATCCCTGCAGACCACCACAGAGACAGGAAGTCAAGGTATCCAAAAACAAAGTAATGGTTATCAAAAGTGCTTGCATGAATCTTGGATCCTTTCAGTAACTTATTCCCATTAGGAAGGTTGTCATCCATTTCCAGCAGGAAAAACTGTTTGAAATGACGTAATCACAACCACAAACTGGTTGAAATAACATCATTATGATGACATCATTTCAACCAGTTTTGACCAGTTTTGCCCGCTGGATTGTAACACATTGACTTGTTTCTTAATGTCTTAACAATGGACCCCTGTGCCATTATCTTTGTGTACTTACCTGGGTAAATGAAGGGTTGCCCGCCCCACCAGGCCTTAACGTCCATGATGAAATACATGACTCCCAGCAGGAGGAAAGAGAAACAGCCCATGCAGGTGATATACGACAGAGACCTACAGTACATGAATGCACAACACAAATACACTTTATTGTACAAGCAATAGAGTTATAAAAGTTGCACCTGTATCTATCTACTGTATGTTGCATAGTGTACAAATAGATAGTTATTCTAACTAAAATGCGCTCTATTATGCGTACACTGTTCTGTATTGTATACCTGTATGAGGAGTGTACTATGTGTACACTTTTCCATGGGGAAGCTTGGCACTTGTGGTCAAGAGTTTGGATGACCAGTACAAAGTGTGAACAACAAAGCAGCCATATAAATGCATAATAGAGTTTGCTGCTGATGCTAAGCTACAGTCCAGTACAGTATGGTAGTCTAGTATGATGTATTAGCGTCAGTTAGTGGATCCTTGGCTCATGGAGCCATGGAGCCATGTCGGCGAGTCATGTCCCTGTCTGTTCCAAAGTGCAAGAATGTTTGATGTAATATCATCTCATGTAAAATGGCCACATCCCAGATCCTTGCAGCAGCAGGCATCTTTTATCTAATCTGAAGGCGGTCCAAAAAAGACTCTAAGGCTGGGACTCATACTCAAGAGCTCAAAAACCTGCGCATGATGAACTGCCTATAAAACCAGGGCAGGTATAATGGCTATGAATGAGCATGGCTATAGAGAAGACGCTCATGTGGGAGAATCATGGGAGATTCTGCTTACATATCATAGATGAAATGGTACTCTGTCTGACATGACATTAAAATGATTCATATTAATTTTACATGCAGTGTGAGCGTGGAAGAAATACGTCAGCTATAACATATATGGCTGTAATCATACTATATTTCATGCAAAATCATTACCGTGATTGAAATGTTCATCAAATATTTGTGCATCCAGGAAAGTCTAGACATTGAATTCCTATCCTTTTTATACTCTGTGGGAATACAGTGAGTACTGTGTGAGTTGTGAATTTCCCATAGTAATACTGTCCCCTGAACTCCATATTGACCCTCTACACTTTTAGAAACGGAGGGGCTATCTAGAACCATAAAGGGTTTTTCAGCTGTCCTTGTAGGAAAACCCTTTGTGGTTCCAGGTAGAACCTTTTACTGAGAGCTGGCTAGGGGACAGTTTTCCTGCCATGATGGTGGGGTAGGGAGGGAGTATAAAACAGACTGTTTTCCTTCTGGCTGTAAAGAAGAGTGATCTTGTTGGAGGATGTATCGCCCGGCTTGCCTCACACTCTCTGACAGCCGGGGTGATTATTTACAGTCGTATCTGTCGTTAAAGGCAAGTAAACGCGTGTTTTAGCAGGCCGTGATTTGTGCCTGCTGGAAACTCATCCTCTCTTTTGTGAGGGAAAAGTGACTGGATTTAGAGGGTCAGGAATCACTTACCAAAGGTTTTTATTGACAGGTATAAATCCTTCGTCTCGCGTGCACTTAGAAAGGATGGCTGTGGAGATTCCCTGAGGGTGGAAACGAAACAGATTTCAAATCGATGCGGGCGATAAAGCAAGCAGTATTGGGTCTGCTAAAACGTGGGCCAACAGAATCGAGTGAGTGAGGCAGATTCATTGATTATCTGAGCCTCAGATCAACAAGGTCCCTCACGAAAGAACTGCAAACCAACTGGTTTAAATCCACCCCTACCATAGTTGGATCTCTCCCAGCTCGTAGTGAATCCACTTGTACCCTAGAATAATAATGCTTCTATCTACCAATTCTTATAAACAAATGGCATATCTACTGCATATCAAATATCAATAAACACCTTTATTGCATCATATATTTATTTACCTATAAGAAATAATTTAGCTTTATTTCAATTTTTGAGTTGTGCTTGTGCATTCCTTTAAGAAACCCTGTAGATCCAAACCTAAACATGCTTGTTCGGTGGCTATCCATCATTTGTATAGATGACAGAATCAATGGTGTGGAAATAGCCTGGCTGTGGCTAGATTGAGTCTCCAGGCTATGCAGGCAGGCAGAAATAGGGACGGGGCTGGTATGTGGGGCAATCGCTCAATTTCAATCTCTCACTCCCCAGCCCAGATCGTTGAGCTTTAATTAACTCTGGCTGCTGTTTATTGGGATGAGGAAGCATGGCCGCCCCGGAATATCAAGGCACCGTCAGTCAGCCAGAGAATTCATGCCACAACAACACTACTGAAACATCCTGTATGTCCCTCCTAGTGGTGAACTGTCTGTAGGCTAAATTCTCGCTCACAAAGAAAAGTGGAGGAGTTTATTACACTTTAAGGTTAAAAAGTGACGTTTCGACCTGCCAACTGTGTTATCTGTGTATAATACTGTCCCTGGTCTGCCTGAAGTGGATTCTGTGTAGAAAGCTGTCTCTGGTGTGTGAGTATCTGTGGTTGGCTGGCTGCATCAATTAGCTCCTTATCAGGCAGGGCTAACTACTAATGTCAAGAGCACATTTCTGATACAAGAGGCTGCTGAAGTACAGCTTCAAACCTCTCCTAGAAGGTCACATCTTATCAGACAAGTCAATAATAAGAGCTGGTCAATCAGTCTGACTCTTTTCACCATCAATGTGTGGAAAGACACGGAACACTGTTCCATGTTTCTGTAAGTAAAATGGGCTATAATTCCAATAAAAAGTTCATCATCAAATCAAAACCAAAATGCAATGACTTAGTTTGTAGCATGTTTGCATCTCAGAGATACTCAGAGAAAATGAAGGCGGAAAAAGACACCTCTACAGAAAAAGCGTTACACCCTCAGCTTCTCTGACATGAGGAAACAGATCGATGCTGTGCTGCCAACACTGCCAAAATTCCATTGGCAGTGTCCTTTTTGAATCTGTATTTCTGCAAACACCTTTTGAAGACAACCTATTCTATATCTGCCTATTCTATAGGACATCTCCAACATAACAATAACATACAGTACAGAGTATTGTAATATTGTCATGGCTGCTAGTACTAACTGGTAAATTGTGTGAAAGAAATATAAAAATAGAACAAACATAGGCTGGTAATGATTTTACATAAAGGTGGCTTACTTTATCACCCTGCGCCTCTGGGAAGTACAAAATGGATCTAATTTATTTTGGCTCCCCCAAGCTACTCGCCCCCTATAATAACAGTCAATAAGATTCAACCCAAGAAACATAATGGACAGATTTGTCATAGGAGCTGAAGATAATAACATTTAAATGCCCCTGATGGGGCCTCCGATGATGTTGTACTGGTTCACAGAACACACGAATACATTCCCCTTTTTATAGGGCGATGCATCTGAATCCCATTATACAATCTGCTTTTAAAAGGTATGATTGTACCGAAATTGGAGTCTCTTTTGTTCTAGATAATTATCTAAATAATTGCTTCATGTTAACATAATCTATTACATCAAGTTTAACTATCTACATCAAAGGATAATTAATTTATGATATAATGGAAACTCAAACCTACGCAAATTTTAATATTTAGAATAAGACTTAATAAAACTCTATAACAAGGCAAAATTCATCCTCCATTTTACAGTTTTTAAAGCGGCCTCAAGACATTCCCAGTCTGTTTGGTTCCTTGTTTTTCCTTGCTGTAGTGAGACTTCAAAGGGTTTCTGATCCAGCTAAAACCTCTCCATCACCACCCCTGGTCACCGGGTCCTGGAACTCAAGACCCCTTCCCTTCCACCGTAACATGGAACCTCTCACTACAGCCAATGCCATGTAACTCTGCCATAATTAACATAGTCCACATGATTAGGCTAAAATAAAATCACTACATGGGATTTGTCAATCTCGTTTGAGTGGAGGGTCTTCCCTTTGTTGGCAAACAGATGAAAAGAGTGGTCTACATTTCACGACACTTACCTTTTCCCCACGGGATAGAGTCTCCCCAAATGAAATAGTGGCCAGCTTGTATCCCTTTCTGTTTTGAGACCACCCACACAGAGCACTATCCCACCAACACAATAACATTACCCGTCAATCTATGTAAGAATCACAGTTATTTCATAATGACTTATCTTTACATCAATACCACTGGTGTACTTCACTTCTGGTTCTGGAGGACCAGAGTGTATAGGCATTTGTTCCAGCTCAGCACTCAAACAATAGATTCAGCTTATCTTGGTCTTGATGATTGGTTTCTAATCAGATGTTAGCTAACAATATTATGGTTAGACTGGGACAAAAGTCTCCTCACTACAGTTGTTGAGTACCTGTAGTGAGGAATACTGGTTTATACTGTAGCATAAAACCAGCATCTGCTACTGTGAATTGAATCTTAGGGTAGGGTACAATCATACACTTCAGCAGAGCATAGTAAATAAAGAGGAGAACATGAGATCTTTGCCATGATGTCGGAGCTCAATGTAACTAATATGCAGGATTTGTACGTTCTGAAACCACACGAGAGACACACAAGCAATGAGAGACAGAGACTATCCCCTGGGACAGAAGATACTTATGTCCGCCAAGAAACAGACAGCCATACATGGTTGTGTTGTTTTAACATACACAGAGATCCCATACCTACTACAGACAGACTGCTAATGAGCTGTTATGCAGCTACGACTAACTAGTGACTAAAAAGTTAAACGCCAAATGGCTTATATTTCTTTATAGTGCCACATCGTCATGTGGCTTCCCTTATAAAATAAAAATATAACCACCAATAGACTGCACGGGAGAGGCATTAGCTTTAGTCTTGTTTGGTCTTTGGTATTGTCACGACTTCCGCTGAGGCTACCTCCCCTCCTTGTTCGGGCAGGCTTCTGCGTTTGTCGTCACCGGCTTACTAACCACTGCCGCCCCAATTATCATCACATTTGTCTTGTCTTGTCAACCACACACACCTGGTTCTAATCCCCTCATTAGTCCGTGTATAAGTGTTCCCTCTGCCCCCTTGTCCTTGTGGGTGATTGTTATTTGTGAGAGTAGTGTAGCTCGGTGGAGCAACTCGTACCATTTTGTTGCCAGGGTAGATATTTCCCCTGTGCCTATGTATTGTTGGAGATACCGTTACAGTGTATTGCCAGGGTAGATAGTTTCCCCTGTGCCTGTTTCGTTTGTCGCTATTCCAGCGTATTTAGTGTAACGAAGGAATCAACTCTGTATTTGGTGATTACCCTCCTGCGCCTGACTCCTTCCATCACACTCATCACAGGTATTTTTATTTTAAAGGAAATTATTACATCTATCATGGGCTGTGGTGTTGACTTATCACAAAGTAATGCAGAAAGAGACTAAAACATGCCAGTAATATTTCTGAACAGATGTGGGAGGCTTTACAGTACATACCAGGAGGATGGCCCATACTAGGAATCGGGAGAGGATGCTGACATCCTTTTTCCTGTAAAAAAGTAGAATTTTTCCCGCCTGTGGAAAGAAAGGACACTGCTAAGCAGGCTGGGTATACATGTCATTTAATCATGACTGATCCTTTGAAGGAGAAAATTATATAAACAGGTTAGATGTAGTCGGTGAACTAAATTGGCCCATATAGTGGATGTGGGTGCTGTGTGCCCCTGGTGTGGCGGTCATATTTCTCATATCCCTTTGGTGCCAGATGTGACGTGTAAGTCACCGGCGCTCTCTGATTAATTTGGTGATGATGAATATGTCTCAGCTGAGGACATTAGCATGGGCAAACACAGACGAGGGGAGTGGACACCTGGCGTGTCGTCTAAGACTCGCTGACTGAAGGGCTCAGCACCAACCGCCCACAGGGAATTGAGCTATGCGGCTGCTTTCGCATGGCAACTTCCCACTAAGAAAACGGTTGAACGCAACGCTGTCGCCATCAAAGTGCATGAGTTGTTTTAAAGGCTCCCACCCTAAAGACCCCAAAACTCTGTCCTCACCTTCGGACGACATTCTGTGTCAATAACAGGAGAGCAGCTGTGCAGACATGAGGCGGAAAAATGTCCCTTAGACAACCTCCATTTTAGTAGACTACTGACTCAACCTTAGTGTCATGATGCATGGACAAATCATTAAAAACTGAAAATAATTGAAAGATTGAAATGAAAAACTGAAATGAAATAAAATGCTGAAATTAAGTTTGTTTATGAGTTTGAGTTGACATGATATCCATACTGCAACTTACATGAATGACCTTTGTTATTCAAGTTTTGAAATATCGTGAAAACACACATAAGAAGGACTTAAACCTTTGGCCTTTTTAAAAGTTACGACTGAGGTACAGATCTGGTAAAAACGGTACAAAATTATTGGGTCATAAACTTGAGCTCTGCTTACTTGCATCCCCATGAATCCCATGACAATGGAGTTGATAGTACCCAGAACCCCCTCTGGGTCAAAGGGCTGGGTAGTACGATACATGGCCTGAAAAACACAACATGAGAAGAACTAACAAGCCATTTCCTATGGAGCAGGTTAATGTAAAGATAATTTGTTGTATTTGTTTTGTAACAATGTGCTTGTCGTTAGATTCCCTGCCTTTAGTTTATATTTTTATCCTTTGCTGGAATAAAAAGTGTTCAAATGTTAAATACTATATCACAAATGGAAGAGAGAAAACTGTAATGCTCCTTACCTTGCACGTTGGCCAATGGTAGATGTTATCACCCAATAACCACTTGTCAATGTACCCGGCTGCTCCCCCAGTACAGTTGGGATATAGGCCATTATCCCCAATCCCACCAGCCCCCAAATAACCTCTATTGGATGCAAAAATGTTAGATTAGACTTCTACTGCCACATCTACATCTAATAACAACACACATATTGTACAGTTTATGTTGATGAGAAAGGACAATAGTAAAAATGCTTTTCATTCACTCTGACAATCAACATTTAATCAAACATACTCAGCTGCCTTGGGAGGCACAACAATGCCAGGCAGGGTCAAGAACAGGAGAGAGGAGGACAGAAAAAACTGAAAAGGAGGAATAGGAGTGGAGCACAGAGAGGACAGACAGAGAGGAGGGAGAGAGAGGAAGATGGATCCTCTGCCTCGGCCTGTCTTATTGCGCATGACAGACTGAGATTGGCTAATTATGCCCTCTGAAGCGTCAACCGCAGACCCATAAATCACAGTGGCTCATAACACCAGCTAGCGAGCACAACACATGCTACACAGTGCACACCACGGCCACAGCCACAGCCACAGCCACAGCCACAGCCACAGCCACAGCCACAGCCACAGCCACAGCATCACCCCAGTTTACTGGCCCAAATATCACATCACCACAGCATGTATAAATATAGAAAATAATTGTATTCATTGTCATCACTTCTTGGCTTATTATTATTTATACGGTGTCCATATTAGGACAGTCACCCATTCAAATCCCATGGATTTGTATAGAGAATATCATTGTATAGAGAATATCATTGTTTATTGGATTTGATACATCACATAGTAATCTATCAAGATCTTTATAATGATAATCACATGATAAACTGAAAAACCTGTTGAGATTGTGTGTTCAGGCAGATTTGACTTACGTGGGGCAGTTAGGCACAGGCAGTAGGAAGGTGAGACACAGCCATAATGTCTCAAGGAGAATAATGAAGATCCACTCTGGCCAATACAAGACCACATCCTGGACAGGGTCCCACCAGCGATCCTATAGTTAGATCAAGCAAAATTAATGTAATTGCAACGTTAAACGTGGCGTAGTCGGCAGGATGTCATTTTATGTAATAGCCCCCTAGTTTGCCAGGTGTTACATAATGCAAAAACCTGCGCTTAGCAACCAATTACACTTTCTATGGTCTTATAAGGTTGCTTTCCAGAGTGTAATTACTGATGAAAACAAACTTGACAAAGTCAGTGTCTCACCCCGCTCAGTGGGATCTCTCCCATGCCCCAGAAAGACTGCATCAGAGACAGTATGAAGTAGGTGAATCCCAGACGCTGGAGGACTCCAGGGATTCTAAGCCAAGACCAAGATACTGCAACACAGAGAGAATGACCCTTCACACAGACCTGTGATCATAGACCAGAACACTGACCAGAACATTGTAATACAGCCAGCATCACCAACACAGAGAAAATGGCTATGTTCTGGGCTGTGTCTGAAATGGCACTCAATTTTTCTCATAAGGCACTACTTTTGGTCATATCCTCACAAGCCATCAGATAGAACTGCAAGAAATATGTACAGTACAAAAGCTCCAACTGTCGGGGGTTATACTTTTATACTGGAGTTATTGGCTATACACTGAGCATTGACGTTATAACAAAATGAAATACAGATGTTCTTGAAACGGTGCAAAACTCTTTCTGATGACTTAAGCTAATATTTGCAGAGGAAATGAATAGCATCACCCATCGACACCTGGGCGACCACAAGAATACTGTTCCCTGAGGGAGGAACCTCCCGAGTGGCACAGTGGTCTAAGGCACTGCATCGCAGTGCTAGCTGTGCCACTAGAGATCCTGGTTCGAATCCAGGCTCTGTCGTAGCCGGCCGCGACCGGGAGACCCATGGGGTGGCGCACAATTGGCCCAGTTATGGGTTGTGGGTTCGATTCCCACAGGGAATGACAGTATGAAAAAGTAAAAAATGCATGTATGCACTCACTAACTGTATGTCGCTCTGGATAAGAGCGTCTGCTAAATGACTAAAATGGAGGATATGGGTGGAAATGGGTGTCTTCGGATGTCGAGGTGTGTGTCAGGGAAGTGGAAGGCTCATCAAAGATTCCCAGTTATCTCCAAGCCCAGGCAAATTGGGGAGGACATGAATGGCCTTTGGTTCAGAGATTGATGGTAATCTCCACATTAGTTAACAGACAATCTCTTTGCGGCACAAAGTGCATAAAAAAACTAGATAATCCCAATCATTGATCTGGACAAATCAAATAAGAAGCGGAAATGTCTCTTTCCACAGGAAAGGAGGAAGCGCTTTGGGTGACTAATGACAAGTTTGTTAAGTCCGTAGGTTACACCTCTATGAGATTGGTCCCTTGTCTCTGCTATCTCTCATGACATTCATCATTATCAAGTTCAATATGCATGAAACATCCACGAAAGTTACTTTGAAATTAATAATTATGGCTACGTCATGTTCTTTATGAGTCATGCATCAGTATTAACCATTTACACTCGTGGAAATTGGTCTATACGGATAGGGGTAAATTGAAATGTTTCTAACAGAAGAAATATGAAAAGCATATGCATACCCAATTGAGATGGGAAAATTATTATATTATAATATGGGGAAATTGTTAGACCAAAGGTAAGGAGGCAAAATTCTTAAGTTTCTATGAAATGCATAAGCATGGTAGCAATTGAAAGGGAACAGTTTGGAGATTATTGGAAAATGATTAGACCAAAGTTGAGGACACAACAGTTCAACTGACATAAGACTGAATCTAAACATTGCATTGTTGATTATTGGTGCATTTTACATATACTGCACTTTTCGCTGCATTTGTATGATAACGAAATCTGAAAATACTCTGGATACATTCAGTAACATGATTAGAATATTCCTGGAAAATGTGGGGTAGGTGCAACATAAGACAGAACAATTACAAGGGTTTGAGTGAGAGGACTAACTGGTGTCTCTAAGTGGCCACACACCTCTCCAAAGTATGCACAGTTCCTAAGTAATTTCAATGCACTTTTATGACTCAAAAAAGAGTCTTCAACTATAAGGTGCTTTTTTGAGCTCTCCTAGCTGTGCCGTTGAGGAACTAGAGCAAGCGCACTTGTAGTTGTTTTATTTGGAACACAACCCTGCATCCCCGCCATCACACAATTACTGTTGTTGTTTACGCAATCCCCCAAAAGTCCATTATAAATCATCTGGGTCAGATGGGCATCATTTGAAATGACTAGCAAAGTTGTAAAATAGGATCTTACAGTGTTAGGCTTTCACAAGGCAATTCAGGGAAACAGATCATAATTTTGGTGGGCAAAGAAAGGAGTCATGAGTGCATTCAGGTGTGTGTGCCGTGGTGAATTTTCTTCACACTAGACAAACATAGGCTCCTTCTGTTCAGGACAACACAGGGTATGATGCCATGTCATCTTGTAACTGTACATCAAACATAGTGATCATAAATGTTGACACTGTATATGACATGAGATTTATGATATAGGAATTTGAAGTGCACATTTGGACTCACAGGTGTTTGGCTTGCTTGTACGACATCAAAGCAGTATTTATTATAATCCTCAACGTCTCATCTTTCAAAATACATCGAGTCCTCTTAATTTACAGCATTTCCCTCACTCAGACATAACAAATTAACAAATGTTGCCCAATTAGCAGGAGGGATGGGGGCAACTTGGCCGGGGACTTTAATGCAGGGAAACTTAAATCCGTTCTACCTAATTTCTACCAGCATGTTAAATGTGCAACCAGAGGAAAAAAAACTCTAGACCACCTTTACTCCACACAGAGACGCATACAAAGCTCTCCCCCTCCATTTGGCAAATCTGACCATAACTCTATCCTCCTGATTCCTGCTTATAAGCAAAAACTAAAGCAGGAAACACCAGTGACTCGGTTAATAAAAAAGTGGTCAGATGACACAGATGCTAAGCTACAGGACTGTTTTGCTAGCACAGACTGGAACATGTTCCGGGATTCTTCAGATAGCATTGAGGAGTACACCACATCAGTCACTGGCTTCATCAATAAGTGCATCGATGACGTCGTCCCCACAGTGACCGTACGTACATACCCCAACCAGAAGCCATGGATTACAGGAAACATCCACTCTGAGCTAAAGGGTAGAGCTGCAGCTTTCAAGGAGCGGGACTCTAACCCGGACGCTTATAAGAAATCCCGCTATGCCCTCCGACGAACCATCAAACAGGCAAAGAGTCAATACAGGACTAAGATTGAATCATACTACACTGGCTCTGACGCTCGTTGGATGTGGCAGGGCTTGAAAACTATTACAGACTACAAAGGGAAGCACAGCCGCGAGCTGCCCAGTGACACAAGACTTCCAGACGAGCTAAACCACTTCTATGCTCGCTTCGAGGCAAGCAACACTGAAGCATGCATGAGAGCACCAGCTGTTCCGGATGACTATGTGATCACGCTCTCCGTAGCCGATGTGAGTAAGACTTTTAAGCAGGTCAACATTCACAAGGCCGCAGGGCCAGACGGATTACCAGGACGTGTACTCCGAGCATGTGCTGACCAACTGGCAAGTGTCTTCACTGACATTTTCAACATGTCCCTGACTGAGTCTGTAATACCAACATGTTTCAAGCAGACCACCATAGTCCCCGTGCCCAAGGACTCTAAGATAACCTGCCTAAATGACTACCGACCCGTAGCACTGACGTCTGTAGCCATGAAGTGCTTTGAAAGGCTGGTCATGGCTCACATCAACAGCATTATCCCAAAAACCCTAGACCCACTCCAATTTGCATACCGCCCCAACAGATCCACAGATGATGCAATCTCTATTGCACTCCACACTGCCCTTTCCCACCTGGACAAGAGGAACACCTACGTGAGAATGCTATTCATTGACTACAGCTCAGCATTCAACACCATAGTGCCCTCAAAGCTCATCACTAAGCTAAGGATCCTGGGACTAAACACCTCCCTCTGCAACTGGATCCTGGACTTCCTGACAGGCCGCCCCCAAGTAGTAAGGGTAGGTAACAACACATCTGCCACGCTGATCCTCAACACGGGGGCCCCTCAGGGGTGCGTGTTGAGGATCAGCTCAGTCCCCTCCTGTACTCCCTGTTCACCCATGACTGCATGGCCAGGCACGACTCCAACACCATCATTAAGTTTGCCGACGACACAACAGTGGTAGGCCTGATCACCGACAACGATGAGACAGCCTATAGGGAGGAGTTCAGAGACCTGGCCGTGTGGTGCCAGGACAACAACCTCTCCCTCAACATGACCAAGACAAAGGAGATGATTGTGGACTACAGGTAAAAAAAAGAGGACTGAGCACGCCCCCATTCTCATTGACGGGGCTGTAGTGGAACAGGTTGAGAGCTTCAAGTTCCTTGGTGTCCACATCACCAACAAACTATCATGGTCCAAACACACCAAGACAGTCGTGAAGAGGGCACGACAAAGCCTATTCCCCCTCAGGAGACTGAAAAGATTTGGCATGGGTCCTCAGATCCTCAAGAAATTATACAGCTGCACCATCGAGAGCATCCTGACTGGTTGCATCACCGCCTGGTATGGCAACTGCTTGGCCTCCGACCGCAAGGCACTACAGAGGGTAGTGCATACGGCCCAGTACATCACTGGGGCCAAGCTTCCTGCCATCCAGGACCTCTATACCAGGCGGTGTCAGAGGAAAGCCCTCAAAATAGTCAAAGACTCCAGCCACCCTAGTCATAGACTGTTCTCTCTGCTACCGCACGGCAAGCGGTACCGGAGTGCCAAGTCTAGGTCCAAAAGACTTCTCAACAGCTTCTACCCCCAAGCCATAAGACTCCTGAACAGCTAATCATGGCTACCCGGACTATTTGCACTGCCCCCCCACCCCATCCTTTTACGCTGCTGCTACTCTGTTAATTATTTATGCATAGTCACTTTAACTCTGCCCACATGTACATATTACTTCAACTACCTCAACTAGCCGGTGCCCCCGCACATTGACTCTGCACCGGTACCCCCCTGTATATATAGCCTCCCTACTGTTATTTTATTTTACTTCTGCTCTTTTTTTCTCAACACTTTTTTTGTTGTTGTTTTATTTTTACTTTTTTGTTAAAAATAAATGCACTGTTGGTTAAGGGCTGTATGTAAGCATTTCACTGTAATGTCTGCACCTGTTGTATTCGGCGCATGTGGCCAATACAATTTGATTTGATTTGATTTGAACTTCTTGTCGCGTGCGGTGCTCAAGTTCAGAACATCTGTCAGTCAAAACCCAGACAGTGCTGTGAAGCGCAGAGCCTGAGCTCTGACTATATGTATAGACTGTTACTGTACAGCCACTGCATTTCAATGTAGGAATTTATCAGTGCCCAAATCTGCCATTTCCAACCCGTATACGGGTACGAGTATAAAGGGCTACAATGGCACACTTTTTTGTTCATTTTCTGGTGGCACATGGCTTTGATCAATATAAATAACTATAGTGAGTCTTCTGAGTAGAAGCCTGTTAAAGCTCAAAATTATAAAAGAAATCAGAGAGTTTTTCCAGTTGGAAGTGGCGATTTATTGCAAAGTGGAAATAAATGGGTTACTGAATAAAATAAAGCATCCTGTAATAAAGCATCCTGATGAAGAATCAAATGGAAGGACATTTTAGGGGGTGGGACTTGAATCAAAGTTGAATACCGGAAATGTATCCAAGCCCCACAATAAATTAGGCTATTAGTGTACATGCAATCACCTCACAACAGCTAAAGCTGACTTGCGCTCCAAAAACTAAAACCAACCTGTATACTGGCAGTAAAAACACGTCAAAGGTCAACACCTCTTCATTTGACCACCAAAACAGTATGCATATTGAACAGATCGAAGCACCTCCATTTCCTTATTAGATAAAACCCAGGGTTAGACATGCCAAGGGCATCATGGGGAAGGGGGGAGAGAGACAACACTGTCTACAGCGGTTGATGGTAAAACACATCATCCTGTTATGAGAGGTTTTACACTATACAGGATCTACTGGCTACAGCTGGCACCATGTAACACTATCTGTTGAAAATGTCCATTACAGCAACACTGGTTGTTTTTGCTCAAATCCTTTTTTTGTTAAATGTCCCCTGATACTGTGTTCCCCACTGCGAGGAATAACAATATATTTTTTAACCCGGTTACAGAGACATCCACCCAGGAAAGTCCATTAGCGCCAGGGTTAGCTAATGTGTGAAGGGCCTCGTGGACAGTAATAAATCCACACAGCTTTCCCCATTTAACCCTGTCACGTCTCTGGCAGCCAGCCACTGCCAGCCACCCTACGCTGCCAGACTTCATAATCATAATCCAACAGGGGTTTTACATAAGAAAACCATTATTAATTATTCCAGCATTTAGCATGGTGACCAAGAACAAGAGCTAGGATGGATTGAACTCTACAGTTTGTAATGAAGATACACCTTCAAATTAGTGGATTCTGCTATTTCAGCCATACCTGTTGCTGATAGGTGTATAACATCAAGTACACAGCCATGAAATCTCCATAGATAAACATTGGCAGTAGAATGGCCTTACTGAAGAGCTCAGTGACTTTCAATGTGGCACCGTCATAGGATGCCACCTTTCCAAAAAGTAAGTTTGTCAAATTTCTGCCCTGCCAGAGCCACACAAGTTCATAGAACGGGCCCGCTGAGTGCTGAAGCGCGTAGCGCATAAAAATCGTCTGTCCTCGGTTGCAACACTCACTACCGAGTTCCAAACTGCCTCTGGAAGCAATGTCAGCACAATAACTGTTTGTCGGGTGCTTCATGAAATGGCTTTCCATGGCCGAGCAGCCGCACACAAGCAGCATGCAATGATCATGAGAACGGTGAGGAATCAGCCCAGAACTACACGGGAGGATCTTGTCAATGATCACCATGCGCAATGCCAAGCATCGGCTGGAGCGGTGTAAAGCTCACCGCCATTGGACTCTGGAGCAGTGGAAACGCGTTCTCTGGAGTGATGAATCCACAGGATGTTGGTGGCACCTTAATTGGGGAGAATGAGCTCGTGGAGTGGAATGGGTGGAATGGTATCAAATACATCAAACACATGTTTTCCATGTGTTTGATGTCATTCCATTTACTCCATTCGAGCCATTATTATGAGCCGTCCTCCCCGCAGTAGCCTCCACTGGATGAATCACGCTTCTGGGTTTGTCGGATGCCAGGAGAATGCTACCTGCCCCAATGCATTGTGCCAACTGTAAAGTTTGGTGGAGGAGGAATAATGGTCTGAGGCTGTTTTTCATGGTTCGGGCTTGGCCCCTTAGTTCCAGTGAAGGGAAATCTTAACGCTACAGCATACAATGACATTCTAGACTATTCTGTGCTTCCAACTTTGTGGCAACAGTTTGGGGAAGGCCCTTTGCTGTTTCAGCATGACAGTGCCCCTGTGCACAAAGCGAGGTCCATACAGAAATGGTTTGTTGAGATCGGTGTGGAAGAACTTGACTGGCCTGCATAGAGCCCTGACCTCAACCCCATCGAACACCTTTGGGATGAATTGGAATGCCGACTGCGAGACAGGCCTAATCGCCCAACATCAGTGCCCGACCTCGCTTAAGTTTTTGTGGCTGAATGGAAGCAAGTCCCCACAGCAATGTTCCAACATCTAGAGGAAAGCCTTCCCAGAAGGGTGGAGGCTGTTATAGCAGCAAATGGGGACCAACTCCATATTAATGCTCATGATTTTGGAATGATATGTTCGACGAGCAGGTGTCCACATACTTTTGGTCACGTAGTGTATCTAATGGTATCTAAATAATAGTATTCCACACTCATCATGTTAAGGTCATATGGAAACAGGAAGATACTGGTGGGGAAAGTTTGTAATGACTTGCCACAGATTCAGATCCTGAACTGCTTCAATAGCAAGAGTTTAGATTTATAACTTCAATGACTTATTGCATGTTTCATTACTCCCATATGTTTCCGGTGCATCCATGATTATGATTTAGGGTTCACAACGTTCCTTGGTAAATCAAGCAACTTTTTTTTACGTGTGTACCTACATAATCCATCCTTTGGAGAGTAGTTCATGAAACAAAAGCCGATAAGGATGAGGACCACAGTTCTCCAGGTTAGCTTGCGTATTAGCTGCCAACGGCCAACTCCCTTTTTCCGCATGGAGGTGAAGGCCAATACCACAGAAGTCCCAATGATGAACACAAACCTGAATGAAACACACAGTGAAACATTACAGTACTCATAGACAACTAAATTAAAGGGACATTGCACTCTAAAATCAAAGATGTTTTCTGACCTCAAACATCAAGATAAATCTATGTCCCTCACCTTCAACTGTGTTTGTCCAGCTGTGCTTAAATTGGTCATTTAGCAGACACTCTTATCCAGAGCGACTTACAGGAGCAATTAGGGTTAAGTGCCTTGCTCAAGGGCACATCGACAGATTTTTCACCTAGTCGGCTCGGGGATTAGAACCAGCAACCTTTCGGTTACTGGTACAACGCTCTTAACCACTACGCTACCTGCCGCCCCATACATACCCAAAAAGGAATGTAAAAGATAAGCACCGCAAATCTGGAAATTACATGGCGCTTATCTTGTCCATTCATTTTGGATTGTGGCTTATAGCTGAATCTACAAAACAGATGGCCTAGGATGTAGACTTAACTCAACAGAAGACCAATTTGATTTTGGAGTGTAATATCACTTTAATTAGTCACAATACCGAAGGATAAAGGATAATCTTGCTGGTCAAAGGGTCTAATACAATTTCCCGATATCAAATATCAATCTATAATTCACTGTATTCTTTGTCATCTATCCTAATTACTGCACTGATATGTACACTGATTGCTCTACTAGATAGGCTATAGTGTTACAGTGTACACCACCCATATAAAGTTCCTGACTATGACGCCCCACATCTAATCGCGTCATTACTGCACAATACCCCTCTGTCTTCAATAAACATTTGGGACTAAACAATTTAGTGCATAATATTCAATAATATTCAGTGTTAAACAAGTGTCTGTATGTCTGAGCAAAGGAGTCCTAACCACACACTGTCAATGAGTTATCAAGTTGGTTGAAACAAAGGTAATGAAACACCATGTGTGTTATTGTAGTGTTAGTTACTGTGCAGTGCTAATTAGAGATCATGTGACCTGTGTGAACTACTTGACTGTGTTTGCACTGTAGGAGCATAATTTGTTAGTAGCATGTGTAAGAGTTTCCTCTGCTCATGCCTGTAATAATTATACAGTGATTTATTGAACAGTTGTTGCAGTCAAACCCACCAAGGCATCACAAGATCAGCCACAGTAAGACCTGGAACACAGAGACATGCTTATAGGTCACAAGGATCAATACAGATGGACAGACAGAGCAGACAGACAGACATACAGTCAGAGAGACAGACAGTATTCATACTGTCATACAGTGAAGGATAAATGTATTTGATCCCCTGCTGATTTTGTACGTTTGCCCACTGACAAAGAAATGATCAGTCTATAATTTTAATGGTAGGTTTATTTGAACAATGAGAGACAGAATAACAACAACAAAAATGTTATAAATCGATTTGCATTTTAATGAGGGAAATAAGTATTTGACCCCCTCTCAATCAGAAAGATTTCTGGCTCCCAGGTGTCTTTTATACAGGTAACGAGCTGAGATTAGGAGCACAATCTTAAAGGGAGTGCTCCTAATCTCAGTTTGTTACCTGTATAAAAGACACCTGTCCACAGAAGCAATCAATCAATCAGATTCCAAACTCTCCACCATGGCCAAGACCAAAGAGCTCTCCAAGGATGTCAGGGACAAGATTGTAGACCTACACAAGGCTGGAATGGGCTACAAGACCATCGCCAAGCAGCTTGGTGAGAAGGTGACAACAGTTGGTGACATTATTCACAAATGGAAGAAACACAAAATAACTGTCAATCTCCCTCTGCCTGGGGCTCCATGCAAGATCTCACCTCGTGGAGTTGCAATGATCATGAGAACGGTGAGGAATCAGCCCAGAACTACACGGGAGGATCTTGTCAATGATCTCAAGGCAGCTGGGACCATAGTCACCAAGGAAACAATTGGTAACACACTACGCCTTGAAGGACTGAAATCCTGCAGCGGCCACAAGGTCCCCCTGCTCAAGAAAGCACATATACAGGGCCGTCTGAAGTTTGCCATCTGAATGATTCAGAGGAGAACTGTTGTGGTCAGATGAGACCAAAATAGAGCTCTTTGGCATCAACTCAACTCGCCGTGTTTGGAGGAGGAGGAATGCTGCCTATGACCCCAAGAACACCATCCCCACCGTCAAACATGGAGGTGGAAACATTATGCTTTGGGGGTGTTTTTCTGCTAAGGGCACAGGACAACTTCACCGCATCAAAGGGACGATGGACGGGGCCATGTACCGTCAAATCTTGGGTGAGAACCTCCTTCCCTCAGCCAGGGCATTGCAAATGGGTCGTGGATGGGTATTCCAGCATGACAATGACCCAAAACACACGGCCAAGGCAACAAAGGAGTGGTTCAATAAGAAGCACATTAAGGTCCTGGAGTGGCCTAGCCAGTCTCCAGACCTTAATCCCATAGAAAATCTGTGGAGGGAGCTGAAGCTTCGAGTTGCCAAACGTCAGCCTCAAAACCTTAATGACTTGGAGAAGATCTGCAAAGAGGAGTGGAACAAAATCCCTCCTGAGATGTGTGCAAACCTGGTGGCCAACTACAAGAAACGTCTGACCTCTGTGATTGCCAACAAGGGTTTTGCCACCAAGTACTAAGTCATGTTTTGCAGAGGGGTCAAATACTTATTTCCCTCATTAAAATGCAAATTAATTTATAACATTTTTGACATGCATTTTTCTGGATTTTTTTGTTGTTATTCTGTCTCTCACTGTTCAAATAAACCTACCATTAAAATTATAGACTGATCATGTCTTTGTCAGTGGGCAAACATACACAATCAGCAGGGGATCAAATACTTTTTTCCCTCACTGTAAGTGCATAACTAAACATAGTCATTCAGTCAGAGGAACAAAACATACAGTACACCTACTATACTATACTACTAAAGATCTATAGTTCTTGGTCTTCTGTCCAGATAATACAAACTGGACTACACTCCAAAACAGCCTGGACGTGTGATTAATAATAATGTATTCAATGCCCCTAAAACACAGTTTTAAAAAAAATAGTTGACTTTCAGACTGAGTGATTTATAAACGTCCAAACCTCCATGACAGTAGGAGCCACGTAGTTATATCAAAATCCATCAACTTTCCTTTGGAATCAATACGATTCAGCTGAGTGATGAAGGGTCTATTATAAAGCTTAAAATTAGTTTGCCTTTAAATACTGTTGGAGATACATTTGGTAATAGTCTCCATTAAGATTTAACATGCAACCCTCCCTCCTCATCTTCCCCTAGGTCGTTAGTGTTATTGATCCATTGGGAGGGTCCTTGATGGCCTAGATAAGAAATTACACCATAGCCCTCGTTGTTGGGTTGAGCCTGAATTTACAGTAGAATTGATAATGGAGACAGTTTTGTGTGTATGGTGTGGTGATGTATGTTAGAATTGTATACTAACCATTCCATGGTGCATGTTCAAATATCCAGTACCCTCCACCTCCATAGTTAACAAAAACCATGATTGTCAGGGAAAGTCTATAAATATTGAAAAAATATAGATTTCAGTTAAACATGTAACCAGTTGGTAGGCTAGCATTGTTATTATTGGACATTGACACCTAACATGAAATTCTAAAGAAAATGTCCGTACAGCATATAACTACTCTGTTTTACATAATTTACTTTTAGTAAAGACATGACTTCTGAATCAAAGATCAAAAGGCCAAGCAAGGGTGGGTATATTCTCAGTGGTGTAAAGTACTTGTGTAAAAATACTTTTGGAGTATCTGTACTTTACTTTACTACTTTACTACTAACTTTTACTTCACAAAATTCCTAAAGAAAATAATGTACTTTTTACTCCATACATTTTCCCTGACACCAAAAAGTACTCTTTACACTTTGAATGCTTAGCAGGACAGGAAAATTGTCAAATGCAATGATTTATACTTTACCTTTAACTTTGATACTTAAGTATATTTAAAACCAAATACTTTTAGACTTTTACTCAAGTAGTATTTTACTGGGTGACTTTCACTTTTACTTGAATAATTTTCTATTAAGATAGTGTGACAATTGGGAACTTTTTCCATTGTCACACACCGAAACGCAATACAAGTTAATGCAATCTAAGCATAATGAATCACTCAGGAAATGAACACTTGTCCTCTAGATCTACTCATGCAGGACTGCTGACTAAAGACTTTGACTATAATTTACGATACACTTATAACTTAGTGCTCGCGAGGGCCGCTGAAACACAGCATACATGATGGAATACTACACTGAATCAGCTGCTATGGGAGACGGTTGTTTGCATCACATGTCAGAAAATGTGTATTTGCATTACATTGCACAAATTTGCTTTGTGTCAGGTAAAGTGCCATAGCTTTCTCAATGGCAGATTCACTCCTTTCACCAGGTATAAAATCTCATTTCTGCTTTTGATTCATGAGTAATGTTAATGGAAGAAATAAAAACATTATTTGAGGACCATAAAGCAAGCTCCCAGTCTGATAAGGTACACTGTGTCTAGCTCAGTTTGAGCCTCCCTTGTTTTTCTGCCCAGATTCAATTAAGAAGTCCAGAAGCCATTACTGCTCCTTTTAGCCCTAACCTGCTGATACAAGATTTTAATCTGGCACTATCATCTCAAAAGAGCTATTAAAGCAGAGCGAACTCTGTTGCATACACACACAAGTATACATATGCATATACACTGACACACACACACATACATTCATGCACGTATGCACACATGCACAGAAACACACGTCATGTGCATCCTCATTCAGATTGTAACGAATATGTCCATTAGTCGTCATAGAGACAGAGACAAAGGTTAAGTCATTTTCCAGATGAGCCCCGTGTAAATTGCTGCAATATAACGACTTATTGCCAATCTTTTAAATTAAAAGCATTTGGTGTCCGACTCTCTGGCCTACATCTTTCAGAGAACCATTTTAGTCCGATTAAATTACCCATTCTTAAACCTTCCAATATCTTATGAAATTGGCCTGTGAGAGAGTGCAAAATATTGTGATTATTAAGCTACTTTACAATACAAAACATGAGCACAACCTGACAATTCCAAAGATTGTCAGGTTAAAGCACCTAATTTGAATAGAGTTGTTGTCATTTTACCACTTTATCAGCAAATTGAATAGTTCAAGCTTCTCAGCATACTAATTAATGGGCGGCAGGTAGCTTAGTGGTTAAGAACGTTGTGCCAGTAACCGAAAGGTCGCTGGTTCTAATCCCTGAGCCGACTAGGTGAAAAATCTGCCGATGTGCCCTTGAGCAAGGCACTTAACCCTAATTGCTCATGTAAGTCGCTCTGGATAAGAGCGTCTGCTAAATGACTAAAATGTAAATGTAATGTTTCTGTGATAAACAGTTTTATGAACACCAGCCAGATACAGGTGAATGACAACAAAACACCACCTAGCTTCTATATAAAACACAGACACAATGTCATGACTAATACAGTGGGTATAGCTGGAGAATTTTTTTTTTATATTAAAATGGATTTAATTGACATTTTTTGTCAACGACCTACACAGAATACTCTAATGTCCAAGTGAAAGACAAATTCTAAAAATGATTTTATGATTAATGAAAAATAAAACACTAACATATTGGCCCCGTGTAGCTCAGTTGGTAGAGCATGGCGTTTGCAATGCCAGGGTTGTGGGTTCAATTCCCATGGGGGTCCAGTATGAAAAATGTATGCACTCACTAACTGTAAGTCACTCTGGATAAGAGCGTCTGCTAAATGACTAAAATGTAAATTAGATAAATATTCACCCCAATGAGTGAATTCATGTTAGAAACACACTTTGCAATGATTACATCTGTGAGTCTTCTTGGGTAATATTTGTACATTATTATTTTCAAAATTTTTCAAGGTGTTGGGGATCATGGCTATACAGCTATTTTGAATTCAGCAATTTTCAAGCAGATTTAAGTCAAAACTGTAACTTGGCCACTCAGGAACATTCATTGTCTTCTTGGTAAGCAACTCCAGTATAGATTTGGCCTTGTGTTGTAGGTTATTGTCCTGCTGAAAGGTGAACTCCTCTCCCAGTGTCTGGTGTAAAGCAGACTGAAGTAGGATTTCCTCTAGGATTTTGCCTGTGCTTAGCTCCATCCTGTTTCTTTTTATCGCCAGTCTTTGCCGATGTCAAGCATACCCATACCATGATGCAGCCACCACCATGCTTGAAAATAAGGAAGCAGTTACTCAGTAATGTGTTGTGTTGGATTTGCCCCAAACATAAGGCTTTGCATTTAGGCCAAAAAGTGTATTCCTTTGCCGTGTTTTTTTGCAGTATTACTTTAGTGTCTTGTTGCATAGATAATGCATATTTTGGAATCTTTTATTTTGCATATTTGTATTCTTTTTTTCACTCTGTCATTTAGGTCATTATTGTGAAGTCACTACAATGTTGTTGATCCATCCTCAGTTTTCTCCCATCACAGCCATTGAACTCTGTAGCTGTTTTAAAATCACCAATGGCCTCATGGTGATATCCCTGAGCAGTTTCTTTCCTGTCCTGCAGCTCAGTTCAGAAGGACAGCTGTATCTTTGATGTGTCTGGGTGGTCATCCACAGCATAATTATTAACTGACCATGCTTGAAGAGATATTCAATGTCTGATTTGTTGTTGTTAGCCATCTACCAATCACTCCCCTTCTTTATGAGGCGGTGTCAGAGGAAGGCCCTGAAAATTGTCAAAGACTCCAGCCACCCTAGTCATAGACTGTTCTCTCTGCTACCGAACGGTAGCGCTAAGCGGAGCGCTAAGTCTAGGTCCAAGAGGCTTCTAAACAGCTTCTACCCCCGAGCCATAAGATTCCTGAACATCTAATGAAATGGCTACCCAGACTATTTGCATATCCCCCCCCCCCCCGCCTACTCTCTGTTTATTATCTATGCATAGTCACTTTAATAACTCTACCTACATGTACATATTACCTCAATTACCTCGGCTAACCGGTGCCCCCGTACATTGACTCGGTTATTTGTTACTTTTATTTCGCATTATTTATATTGTATTTTTTTGTGTGATTTTAAAAAATATTCCTCCTTAAAACTGCATTGTTGGTTAAGGGCTTGTAAGTAAGCATTTCACTGTAAGGTCTTCACCTGTTGTATTCGGAGCATTTGACAAATACAAATGGATTTGATTTGGTTTTTTGAAAAGTTCCCTGGTCTTTGTAGTTGAATTTGTACTTGAAATTCAATACTTGACTGAGGGGCCTTACAGATGTTGTTTGTCTGGGAGATCACGTCAACCCCTATTATTTCACACAGAGTGAGTCCATGTAACTTATTATGTGATTTGTTAAGCCACATTTTACTCCTGCACTAATTTAGGCTTAATTAAACAAAGGGGGTGAATGCAATGACTATATTTTAGTTATTACATTTGTATTAATTTGTAAACATTTGTATAATTTTATTTTCACTGGCATTATGGAGTCTTTTATGTAGATCAATGACAAAAAAATACCATTAAATCTATTTCAATCCCACTTTGTGACGCAACAAAATGTGAAAAAATCAAAGGGGGTTAAGACATGATATCCACTGTGGATGCGATAATACCATCACATTTCTTGGATTTTGATCTCTTTACATTGCATCAGCAATTAGGCTTTTAGTTCAATACAATGCCTCTTTAGCCTACAAGCAAATGGATGGCTACACTCAATCACTATTGAGTATTGAGTTACTTACATTATCGCTAGCCACATCAAGTACATGGAAACCCAATCTAGTCATAACAAATGTCTAGTACTTGAGAGGAAATGTCATGCTGCTTATTTCAGTGGCCAAATATCAATGCACAGAATGAAAAGCATACTGTCCTCTCAATAAACATCAACCTATCTATCAAATCTATTCATAACATTGGTGAACATACAGTGCATTCGGAAAGTATTCAGACCCCTTGACTTTTTCCACATTTTGTTACGTTACAGCCTTATTCTAAAACGGATTAAAAACAATTTTCCCTCATCAATCTACACACAATACCCCATAATGACAAAGCAAAAACAGGTTTTTAGACATTTTTGCAAAAATATTAAAAATACAACTGAAATATAACATTTACATAAGTACTCAGACCCTTCACTCAGTACTTTCTTGGCAGTGATTACAGCCTCGAGTCTTTATGGGTATGACACTACAAGCTTGGCACACCTGTATTTGGGGAGTTTCTCCCATTCTTCTTTGCAGATCCTCTCAAGCTCTGTCAGGTTGGATGGGGAGCGTTGCTGCATAGCAATTTCCAGGTCTCTCCAGAGATGTTCAATCAGGTTCAAGTCCGGGCTCTGGCTGGGCCACTCAAGGACATTCAGAGACTTGTCCCGAAGCCACTCCTGCGTTGTCTTGGCTGTGTGCTTAGGGTCGTTGTCCTGTTGGAAGGTGAACCTTCACCCCAGTCTGAGATCCTGAGCACTCTGGAGCAGGTTTTCATCAAGGATCTCTCTGTACTTTGCTCCGTTCATCTTTCCCTCGATCCTGACTAGTCTCCCAGACCCTGCTGCTGAGGAGTGGCTTTCGTCTGCCCACTCTACCATAAAGGTCTGATTGGTGGAGTGCTGCAGAGATGGCTGGTCTTCTGGAAGGTTCTCCCATCTCCACAGAGGAACTCTGGAGCTCTGTCAGAGTGACCGTCGGGTTCTTGGTCACCTCCCTGACCAAGGCCATTCTCCCCCGATTGCATAGTTTGGCCCGGCTGCCAGCTCTAGGAAGAGTCTTGGTGGTTCCAAACTTCTTCCATTGATGGAGGCCACTGTGTTCTTGGGGACCTTCAATGCTGCAGAACTTTTTTGGTACCCTTCCCCAGATCTGTGCCTCAACACAATCCTGTCTCAGAGCTCTACGAAAAATTCCTTCGACCTCATGGCTTTGTTTATGCTCTGACATGCACTGTCAATTGTTGGACCTTATATAGACAGGTGTGTGCTTTTCCAAATCATGTCCAATGAATTGAATTGACCACAGGTGGACTCCATTCAAGTTGTAGAAACATCTCAAGGATGATCAATGGAAACAGGATGCACCTGAGCTCAATTTCGAGTCTCATAGCAAAGGGTCTGAATACTTATGTAAATAAGATATTTCTGTTTTTAATTTTTTATAAATTTGCAAACATTTCTAAAAACCTGTTTTCGCTTTGTCATTATGGGGTATTGTGTGTAGATTGATGAAGAAAAACATGTATTTCATCCATTTAGAATAAGGCTGTAACGTAACAAAATGTGGAAAAAGTCTAGAGGTCTGACTACTTTCCGAATTCACTGTAACTATCTATGTTATTCATTATATGAATGTCAGAATGTTGACATTGTAGCCCTAACCCTAACCACGCTAGGTGACATGTCAGTTTAGGTGACAAAGGTTAAATGTCGCTATTTTGACATATTCTAATGAGACATGTTATTGTTCCATTTGTAATTTACACTATCCTGTTTTGCTGTAATTTACACTATCCTGTTTTGCTGTAATTTACACTATCCTGTTTTGCTGTAATTGTTCAATGTATTACAACTAATCTTTAGTGTGTCATCTTCAAAATGAATGAAATGGCTGAAGGCTTTTAGAAGTGCCACAAGATTAAAATCAAGATCCTTTTAGAAAAATGCAAACAAAGTCGAGCTGTCCTCTATAACTCATGTCAGCGGAGTTGGAGGAACGAGCTGAAAAGTCTTTCATAGGAGAAGAAACCCCTTTGGCTTCAAAAATGTACCAGCGTTCATGGCAGGTGACTGATGACTCTTCTCCTCAGTGAAAAGTTGTTATTTACTGGCGTCTGGATCATAACTCAGCCAGTTGAGGTGCATTGGAACGTTAATCTTGAGCCCCGAGTCATTTGATTAAGCACGTGTCGAGGTATAGGACATTCAATTGATACAGGAACCAATATGAGAACATCGATATGTTACAGATTGTTTCAGCAGTATATCTTCTCAGGCAAATGTAACTTTGTATTACATATGAGAAAATCCGGTAACACTTTACTTGAAGGGAATATACATTCATACAAGACATTCATAACATCTTTATGAAACCAGTCATAACACCTTTATGAGTGTTGCAGTATCATTCATAACAAACGTTTTAACACATTTATTCAACATCAATCATAACAAGTTTTCAAAAATAAAAGTCTCTTGAAATAAATCTTGATTTAATTTCAGCATTGTACAATGGAAATTTGATACTGCCACAGTACCCAACCCTCTGTCACACTATTCACGTAACAGGCTGGGAGCAACATAGGGTTAGTGGTCCGTGACTGTGTGCATTGAGTGTTTTGCATCCTCTTTTGTGATCTTTCAATGCGGCAAGATGCCGCTGGGTAAACAGCCTTTGGAATTATCAATATTATCATATTGAATTATGAACTTTTTTCGGACGATATCTGGGACAAGGTGGATCTGAAGTAAACAAAGTACCTGGCCTACCTGGCCTACACTGACTTCTGGTCTGGAGCACCATGTGTAAACTTCATGTTAGGCCTACAATATGTTTTCTTCCAATAACAGCCAGAAACAAGTGTTATTAGGATAACACTTGGGTTGGGTTGGGTACTGTGGCTGTGAAAATGCAAATGTCTGCTGTACAATGGATACATGAAGTTCTATTTCAGTGTTACTGATAACTTTTAGTTTCGTAATGAAAAGGGACTATTATTTTGAAAACTCCTGATGAACGATATTGAATACATGTGTTATGAAGGTTGTTATGAATCAACCCATGTCGTACTTCCTCCATCCACACTAGCACCATAGTCCCTCTGTCTTCTTGTAAGAGCCATAACTACAGTAATATGTCATTATAGTGACATATAACTAAATGTTACCTTCAGTGACATATGTTCAAAAATACGCCTACATTTCAACATTCTGATATGTTTCTAATGAAATAGGTCTGTTGTTGATTATATGTGAAAAGCCCAGAGAAAAGTTACTGGTTAGTGTCAGGGAACAGTAGAAAGAACACTTGTTTTCACAAGCTTCTAATTTGGCCTTTAACTTGTACTTGTCTTCTCTAGAGCATGTGAAAATGTGATTTATTACTTAGATTTATTATACGGTACTGTATCTACTAGGTCTGGGAATTGCCAGGGACTTCACGATACGATATTATCACGATACTTAGTTGTCGATACGATATGTATTTCGATTCTCACCATTTTGTATGTATTGCGATTCGAATCCTGCAATTTTATTGTGATTTCATATTCCAAACATATTGCTCACTATATGTCTGCTCCAGAGTGACAAGAGAGAGCATGAGAAAACGAGTTTTGATCAGGCAGGGAAATAAAAGTGTTGAAAACATGTTCGCTCACCATTTAAAAAGAAGATAGGATGAAAAATACAGGCGTTTTGGCGCAGGTACAGTCGACTAGTGCTAGCTAACGCTACCAACAGTAGCGTTGGGATTTCTACAGTAGGGTTGGGATTTTTACAAATCGATACTTGGAGTCAAATATCGATATAATATCATCCCAAAATAATATTGTGATATGTAACTGTATCGATTTTCTTCCCCCATCACTAGTATCTACAGCATGGTAATTTCCTGGTAACTAAAAGCATTTTGAAATAACGTGATAATGAGCAATTTCATTTTCCCGGTTGAGGAAGGCTTGATATGTTGATTTGAAGATATACAATCGTACCAAAATAATATTGAGTCAGTTTGAGCAGATACAATGAGTGAGATTTCAACATTTCCGAAATCATCAGATGAAGGGAGCAGACATGGAGAAGTCTGCACGATACTAAAAACCTGGCTCTGGAAAGCTCTTTCCTTTCTATCCCAGCTGTAGATCTATGGCTCAGTGAATATGTGCTGATATGTTGATGGTATTATTGCATCAATTATTTGGCGAAGGGGAGGTCAAACCCACACCAGCTTCCTGTTTCCAGAGAGGCGTGCTTTGTGTCAGCCCCGAGGCCACTATTAAGAAGAGCAGGGATCCAAGATTAAATCACACCACTCCTGCCCAACAGAAATACGCTGTTCTCAAACATAGAGAGACAACAAAATATTACAAATCATGCCTAAAGCAATTGCCTGAAAACAAAGGCTCAAGTGACCATGTAACCAGACAGTGACCCGTATAATATTTTGTTATACAATACATACTTTGTTTTGTGTTCTGTACAACTTCAGCATGCCTATGATTAGTCTGAAATCAATTAGCATGTAAACAAGCCTTATGTGGAGACAGAGAGATAAACAATCATTTTCCATGTACATACCCTCGGAAAGTGTCCAATGAGCGCAGTCGTGTTGCTTTTGGTTGGGCAGTGTTAACCTCATCCTGAACAAAAGCATTTCAGTCAACAAACTTTCATTTTTGGGGGTATTACTTTACATTACTTAGACCTTATACAAAAGTACAAACCAGTGTAATAACCTATGTTATAACCATGTAACAAGCTAGTAAGTACAGTACATGCAGTTATGACTTACATACTTGTTACATATTGCAAAAGTTACACCCTAATAAATAAATACCATTGAATAATGTAAACAGTATGTAATGTTCAGTGTTGGCAAAAATGCGATTTTGTTTGGTTGAAATCCATAGTCAAATCATGCTTACTCGATATTATTGCCTCTGCTAGTGTTTAACAAACCCAAACAAAACTTGAGTTTGCAGTAACAGAGTAGAGAAATTAGTCAGATTGATCCAGTTGGATTTGTAGGTATCTATCCTTCTTTCTAGCTGTGCTGACAATAGTTGGCCACTACTTCCTTGTTTTTTAAAGAGCGGGCTTGGATTACTCTGGCCTGCTGCCCTCCCAGTTTGAATACCCTGGCCTGTTGACCTCCATGCAACAGTTTGGAGGGCCAGAGCAGGAAGACACTAGCACTAATTCTGTATGATGGATCTGACTGCCATCATGAGAGCATATGGGAGATGAAGGCCTCTTCCTCGAGAAGATGAGAGAAGCTATTCATGCTCTCCAAAAATACGCAGGAGCCTGTCAGGCTGTCACGTCATGGACCAAGACAAGATGATAGATACAATGCTTGATCTATCACTAATGCAGGTCTGCTGACTCTGCTAACATTTGTATCAATTATCATATTAGTATCTCACAAATGGCTTAGTGACTGGAGTCTGGAGGCTTTCATTCATTTAAAATGCCTCTTAAACTTAATAGAAAAAGTTCATGAAAACATTTCAATGCATTTGGTAGATCAAAGCTAAAGTAGATTTTTGATTCCAGAGGACAATGAGTTCTATAAGTGATGAAATTGGATGTAGAAACATAATATATTATATAGAGAAACATAGGGTTAAATCCTAACTTGAGATTTGCGTTGTAATAAGTGAATATTAATATTATACTGACATCCATTGCATGTTGTGGGCCTTTGCAGCAAATGGTCTTGATAAGCTTTGTCGTACAGCGCCTCCTGTAAACAGAAAACAAGGAGCTTCAACTGCCACAGCATGTCAGTTTGGCTTCAGATCAAAGCATACAGTATTTAGAAAGTCAAATGTCAAATCAATTAAAATACAGCACCTGTACAGGTTGGGAGCAACGACACACAGGAGAGCAATAAGTGCCAGTAGAAGAGCTGCCACCAACAGAGCTGTCCAACCAAATCAAAAGAGTATGAGTCAGTGGAGGGCTGTGCGAATAGGAAGCGGAGAATGGACCTTCCTTGTAAATTTGGGACCTAATAAAACGATACAAATAATGAGTTCATCATTGAATACAGTTTAAAAGACCCAAAGCCTTTCTGACTGAACTGATGAGAGAAACCAGACAACAACTTCCTATGTTTCATCACAGCCCAGTCTGGATGCCCAGGAAAGTGACTGTCAGGAAAGTGATATACCCCTCTATCAAAACAGGATCTGACTAGTGATAAGAGGGCTGACTACCATTTCCAGGCCAGCTCAAATAATGTTCTCCCCATTGTCAGTGTCTAAGCTCCCCAGTGGCTTACTGTCACCCAACCAGGTGACCAGGGGATCCCTCAAGGGACAAACAGCCCAATACGAAACTCAAGAGCAGTCAATCTAGGTAATCTAAGGGACAAAAAAGAACAAGGAAACAAAGCTGTATTGAGTGGACTGCCATCAATGATACAGAATGCTTTGGGGGATTACTATACCTATGTGCTGTAATATACACTGAGTGTACAAAACATTAAGAACACCTCCCCGGTGTGCCTGGCACCTACTACCATAACCTGTTCAAAGGCACTTAAACATTTTGTCTTGCCCATTCACCCTCTGAATGGCACACATACACAATCCATGTCTCAGTTGTCTCAAGGCTTAAAAATCCTTCTTTAACCTGTCTTCTCCCACTGATTGAAGTGGATGTAATAAGTGACATCAATAAGGGATCATAGCTTTCACCTGGATTCACCTGGTCAGTCTATGTCTTGGAAAAAGCAGGTGTCCTTAATGTTCTGTACACTCAGGGGCCAGGCCACAGAAAGAATAGTGATATTGCCTTCTTGGATAGGTTAATGTGCTAAATTGAAAGATAATAGCCATATAATATAGAAATATAGAAATTGGCCAAACAAGTGTCATTGACCTTTAGAATATGAAAACAGCTATGTAATTAGAGGACTCAAAGCAGAGGGGACAGGAAATGCAGTGCTCCCTGTTTGTCGTAGAATGGAAAAACAAACACAGAGGCCATTTCATCCTTGGTTGAATACACACTATGACATCCACTGAACAAAGACTACGCACTGGATCCCTTCTGAAAAAGACCTTTATAACTCTCAAAACATGGAGAGGGTAAACTCCTTATCCTCAACATAGAAATGTGATATGAAAGAAAATCATGTCTTGGTTAAAGTAATCAAATCGCTTTACATATGTACAATAGAGTCATCTTCATTATCAGCTAAATAACCTACAGATTCGGGATCAGTTTAATTTAAACTCAACACAGAAACTGCAATGGACATGGAAATTAGATCCTATAATGACCTTGAGGCATGTATATCAGTTTGACTAATACTTATTAATGGTCACTATACCACAAACCACTCTGGGAGCATTATGGCTTAGATTAACCATGCAGGTGACTTGTGGTCTGGGGTACTGTAGGTGGAATACAGTACTAATAACATTAGAGAGTGGACTTGCATGTCCACTGTAATATTAATGGATGTTATAGCTCACGAGACTTGGTTACAATTGGTATATACGTAAAGTTACAGGACCGCAACACATTCTCGATCATATATATTTTAAACATAAATTGGCCCAAGGGCCAGTCACAACTCAGTTTAAAGTTAACTTTTAAATTGCAAAGGCCAACTCTAACCTGCTCCCTGTGCCTTTAGCGTCTGCTGATGACCAGCCCATTACTTAAAGTTGAGAGAGCCCTATGGGGGCCTAACAATAATCACCGGACAACGAAGCTAATGGAAGCTGAACATAATGTGGGGGGTGCAGTCACAGTAGCCATATATCTGCCAGATCATGGCTACATGGCCTTAAAAGTCTGATCTACAACATAATCTGCAATATTGTTAATCAGCGTGTACATTATAGAGAGAGACGCTTTCAAAATCCCATTATGGCTTAATCCCTTCACGCTCCCTAATGTATTACCCAGAATCCCTTTCCTGCACAGAGCACAGACCAAAACAAACAGAAAAGCTTTTATTTTATCCGTTTTCAAGAATGGCTGTCTTATCTAATCGATACACATCATGTCCCATGAGAGGAAAGATAATGACTTCTCAATGGACGTGTACAACACAGTTGATGTCTCTTCTTTGCGGTCTCAATTAGGAACTGTGAGGATCCAGTCACAGGCTTAGCCTTACTCCTAGAAGGGTTCACAAGTACACTAGTACTTTCTACTTTCAATTTTATTGGCATTTTGCATATTAAACAGGTATCATCCACTGTACTCAATAATTGTGATGCCACAAAAAGTATATATAAACACAAAAGGTCCATATCTTAAATAATCGTGTCCAATTGATTGGATATTTTCTGTAAAATAATTTTCTAAATAAAATGTTTTGCTAAAGTATGATTATCTAAAGTACAAAAAAATGGTGCTGTTCTAAATGTTTTGTTTTCAGAATGACAGGAAATTGTTTTTGTTTACTCACGGAAATAGATGTTATTTGGACTGACATCCACAGTATGATAGCAGATGACATTGACGGGAGATTCTGACCCTTGGATCCGGACAGAGTAACGGCCAGCTTCTTCATACAACTGACTCCACCTGTATCAACAACAATGCACTCAATAGAGGGAAGACACTCATCATTTAAAAAAATTCAGTGATCACCAAAAAGCATGCATTTGATTGTCCTTTTAATCTACTGTATCACACATTCACTAGACATTGCTACAGTGCACTTGAGTATGAATTTCCCTTTGACCTTAGCGGTAAATGGTCCTTTCCACACTATCCCCTCTGAGGTTTCTGCACAGGAATAATAAATGTAGCTCGTGGGGGACACCTAGTGTATATAAGCCAGTAGTGCAGCCTTCAGCTGTATCCTATATCCTATACATCTCCGGTTTCACCCCCCAAAAATGTGCATTACAAGCTCTTACTGATCTATCTGGGGGATGACATACTAGCTATCACTTGGAGTGTTTTTTTTAAGGGTTAAAGGAAATCGATAGTGGCTCGGTCTGGTTAGGGACCTCAGCATTGATCTATAGGAAGCCCAAGACTAGACCTCAGCTGAAGAGGAGAAGAGAAACCTGCCCCTGCCTTGTCATGTGAAACCAGATCCCTTGGAGCACGTTTAAGGGTGACCCCCAAATGGAATGCTCTGCCCTGACTTCTTGTAAAGCACTGACTGTTTATAAATATGGCCACTGCCTCTTCTTGTAGAAAGTCTCTTCTGAGGTTTCCACCAGACATGTTGCTTTGCAGGCTTAATGGCTCTTTCCTTCATTATTGGAGTGTCAGCTCCTATTAACCCCAAAAAGGGCCTCTGATCAATACTTGGCGAGGTAGTTTCAGCAGGAGCATATGTCAGGCTCAGAAAGCAGGTCAGGATTACACTCCCAGCCCAGTAAATAATCTCATGGATTGCAAATGCAATCATTGGAATGCCAATGCAGTATATTCTGCTCTGTGTCAAGACCTGGGAACATTACAGACCTGCAGTCAATCCTCTATGAGAGAAGACTGTAATTATCGAAAACAAGGAACTAGATTGTGTAGTGATTTACCTACAAAATGTACCTACAAATATCATGTTTAAGTCATGTATGTTGCCCATTGATGGCAACACTATCTATGGCAATTGTTATGTATTGCCTTTGTAGATGCTATGCCAGTCGTATGCCTAATTATGTGCTCAATATCTATGAATACGTTACCTGCAGAGAGTTGTGTTTCTGCCCATTGGTTGTAACTGCAGTGTCAGAGTGAGGACGGTGCTGACCACGACAGATGCATTCTGGGGACCATTTAGAACACTGACCAGGGGCTGGTACAGACACTGCATGGGGGAGAAAACAGGCTAAGCAGATTCTAAAAAGACACAGGTTTGTGACGTTTGGGCATGATGTCGCCATCAAACACACTGTATAGCTTTCTTTGTTTCATACAAATATGGAAGCATGATATGCTATGTCGTGTCATGTGCACCCAGGACCAGATTTACTGAGCATTGTTGCACCTGTGAAAGGAGCTCAAATATGAAACTGTCTTTTTACATTTTTACATAAATATCGTATTACCTCTCTGAATCTTTCGTTGACCTTTTAAACCTTGTAGCAGTAATAGACACTGTACCTTGTAGCAGGAATCAGAGGTGTAGAGGACATCAACGCCAGTTGGTAGCAGGTTATGGACCGTAAGACTTGCCTGGTCTAATTTCAATGCAGGCAGTCCTAAATACAATGGATTCATAACAATATTAAAAAGCTTGATCTGAATCTTAAAGATAAAACAGGCTTAAGACTGGGCCCGGTTCCACGAGGGGGCAAAGGGGAGCTTAACCCCCTCAGTTGAAACGTGCCCCCTCTGTGTTAGTTTTATGTCCCTATATAAAAATAGCAAAAAAGGTTAAATGATTGAGTGACAGGTTGGTGCAAAATCTGCATCCCAGCTTCGCTGTGTCAGCACAATGGACAGAGCGCAGCTGTGTGAGTAGGGGGGTATGGAAAGCCACTGGGGCGGTTAGGTATGACTCCTTTGGATTTCCATAAAAAGGGGGGAAAACGCTTCTCATCTGTGGTAGGCTAAGTGAATAATGTGACACGCCTCCACCTGTAATATTTTATTACGATTTATAAGGGCGGGGTCAAGTTTACCGTTGAAGCTGTTTCACTCAACTCTGCATCACGACTCACCACTACAGAGTTTGGTTTGGTTCTTAGCCAGCTGAAAAAAATTCAATGTCAGGACGATTCAGCGAACGCAACAGTCAACTGGTGGAAGCCCTGTGTGACCTTGACCCAGAGAGACATGACTTTCTAGATGTGAAAAAGGTGAAACCACTGCTGGATCTAAGCAAAACAGATTTGGTGGAAGCTGAGTTTAGTGTCGCTTGCCAGTTTCTGCAGACTGAAATCGCCCTTCTCCAGTGAGGACAAATGGACCCAACTTGATATTGTGCAACAATTCTCTGGGCCTCTCTCCGATATGCCGACCGTGCTTACTGACACATGGACTGACTTTTGGGGCGTCCACAGCTACACGCGAGAACTACTTTTCCATTTTGACAAATGTGTTCAGCCAGCACAGAAGAAGCATCCTACACCCGAGGAAAGCTCAACTAATCCAACTGGCATTTGAGGGGGATCTTACAAGAAGATTTCGGGGAGAATGGAATGATCGATTACTCAGGAAGCATGGCTGCATCTCACTGTAGTAGGCTGTAGGCTATGTTTTGGTTATTTGGATCTCCATTTTCCGCGTTTGTTTACTGTTAATGTAACTAGCCTAAATATAGATTGAGTCATGCCTTTTTTGATCTGATATTTTGTTTACTAGGCCTACCCTACCGCTGTTTTGTTCTGTTCACATTATTTCCTTCGCATTCGCAGTTGTGCCAATATTCTAAGTCAAACTGCTATTCATTATTTTTGTTGCATGCATGATTAACTAGGCTACTACTTTCAGTATTTCGTTTGCATTATTTTGGTAAGACAGCTGTGTGTATGGCTGCATTCACATAGGCTGTTTGTAACAGGTGAATTACCCTATCTATCTTGTAGCCTATATTCATTACGAAAACGGCCTTGCTTTAGTGTGTAGTGTGCTGTACATTGTGCTGATACAGCGCAGCGGAGATAGGCTACAGATTTCGCGCCAACCTGTCACTTCAAAAGCACTCAATCAATGGTCTCTGAGTCTCAGCATTTAAACTTTATGTTTCTTGTGGTATAGCGTGATATAAGCAGAATTCAATGTAATTCCAATGCAAGTACCCCTCCAAAATTGTGCCAATCTCACCAACCTTAGTCACTTTATCCTGACGCTTGGTCTGCTTAAGACACTATAAATTAACCTGGCTGACGTGCGACCCACGTGACTACACAGCAAGCTGTGACTCACTCTCATGTCAGGGACATATACAGTGCCTTCGGAAAGTATTCAGACCCCTTGACTTTTTCAACATTTTGTTACATTACAGCCTTATTCTAAAATGGATTAAATAAATACAAATCCTCAGCAATCGACACACAATACCCCATAATGACAAAGCGAAAACAGGTTTTTATAAATTTTTATTACAAATAAAAACCAGAAATACCTTATTTACGTAAGTATTCAGACACTTTGCAATGAGACTCGAAATTGAGCTAAGATGAATCCTGTTTCCATTAATCATCCTTGAGATGTTTCTACAACTTGATTGTAGTCCACCTGTGGTAAATTCAATTGATTGGACATGATTTGGAAAGGCACACACCTGTCTATATAAGGTCCCACAGTTGACAGTGCATGTCAGAGCAAAAACCAAGCCATGAGGATGAAGGAATTGTCCGTAGAGCTCTGAGACAGGATTGTTTTGAGGCACAGATCTGGGGAAGGGTACCAAAAAATGTCTGCAGCATTGAATGTCCCCAAGAACACAGTGGCCTCCATCATTCTTAAATGGAAGAAGTTTGGAACCCCCAAGACTCTTCCTAGAGCTGGCCGCCCGGCCAAACTGAGCAATCTGGTGAGAAGGGCCTTGGTCAGGGAGGTGACCAAGAACCTGATGGTCACTCTGACAGAGCTCTATAGTTCCTCTGTGGAGATGGGAGAACCGTCCAGAAGGACAACCATCTCTGCAGCACTCCACCAATCAGGCCTTTATGGTAGAGTGGGCAGACGGAAGCCACTCCTCAGTAAAAGGCACATGACAGCCTGCTTGGAGTTTGCCAAAAGGCACCCAAAGACTCTCAGACCATGAGAAACAAGATTCTCTGGTCTGATGAAACCAAGATTGAACTCTTTGGCCTGAATGCCAAGCATCACGTCTGGAGGAAACCTGGCACCATCCCTACGGTGAAGCATGGTGGTGGCAGCATCATGCTGTGGGGATGTTTTTCAGCGGCAGGGACTGGGAGACTAGTCAGGATCGAGGCTCAGGACCTCAGACTCCAACAGGACGACCCTATGCACACAGCCAAGACAACGCAGGAGTGGCTTCAGGACAAGTCTCTGAATGTCCTTGAGTGGCCCAGCCAGAGCCTGGACTTGAACCCGATCGAACATCTCTGGAGAGACCTGAAAATAGCTATGCGGCAACGCTTCCCATCCAACCTAACAGAAGATCTGCAGAGAAGAATGGGAGAAACTCCCCAAATACAGGTGTGCCAAGCTTGTAGTGTCATACCCAAGAAGAATCGATGCTGTAATCGCTGCCAAAGGTGCTTCAACAAAGTACTGAGTAAAGGGTCTGAATACTTATGTAAATGTGTAATTTTTTTATTTGTATTTTATAAATTAGCCAAAATCTCTACAAACCTGTTTTTGCTTTGTCATTATGGCGTATTGTGTGTAGATTTATGTGGAAAAAACCCAATTTAATCAATTTTAGAATAAGGCAGTGGTGGAAAAAGTACTCAATTGTCATACTAGAGTAAAAGTAAAGATACCTTAATAGAAGATGACTCAAGTAAAAGTGAAAGTCACCCAGTAAAATACTACTTGAGTAAAAGTCTAAAAGTATTTTGTTATTTACGGATAGCCAGGGGCACACTCCAACACTCAGACATCATTTACAAACGAAGCATTAGGGATGACCAGAGATGTTCTCTTGATAAGATTGTGAATTGGACCATTTTCCTGTCAAAATGTAACGAGTACTTTTGGGTGTCAGGGAAAATGTATAGAATAGAAAGTACGTTATTTTCTTTAGGAATGTAGTGAAGTAAAAGGGAAAGTTGCCAAAAATATAAATAGTAAAGCAAAGTACAGATACCCAAAAAAACTAATTAAGTAGTACTGTAAAGTATTTTTACTTAAGTACTTTACACCACTGGAATAAGGCTGTAACGTAACAAAATGTGGAAAAAGTCAAGGGGTCTGGTGTTAGCAAGACTAACTGTAAATAACATGCCTATCACAAAGATGACCATTAAGTAAATTAGAAGACATGAGTCATAACTGATAACAAAAGATAGTTTGCAAATTTTCTTTCAAATTATATTTTTTGTAAAATCTACACATTTCATTGTACTTTGGATATGGCAGTTGCTTAAAACATGGATAGGGTGGTACAGTAAATATAGAAAAGTTAACTGAGATAATTTCATGCTGCTTTGAAAAAAATAATTTAATATGTAAAGAATTAGAAACTCATTTTGGTTACAGTTGGTAAAGTGAAGCCACAGTATATACAGCAGTTCGTGTAGGAATTGTTTATGACTGTGATTCAGTCACATGGATTGAATTTGCAGTACTACTATAAATGCATAACATACGCAGTCCTATACATTCTCTGTTGGACACCAAAATAAGACCACCTTTAACAACACCCATACTTACTGAATAAAAACACTCACCTGAATACAACTTTGCACCATGCTTTCCTTCATTTAGTCCGGTGGTAAGAAAGAACACAAATAGGGTCTGTGTGAGGATTCTTCTAGGCTCCATTTCCTACTACAAAAAAATTCCACTGCAACTCATCTTTATGACAGCTACAGATATAAACAGTGTTCAAAGGGCACTATGCATGCGTGTAGAGTAGTTCATCTCATTTTGTTTGGAGTCTCTTTGGGATCAGATTGAGAGGATAAGACAACATAAACAGTCACATACAGAGTTCTGCTTATAATGCATTATGGAGAGGGCACTCATAGGACATGTTACCTAAAGGTTTTACCCACACATTTGAAACTCATGCAATATGAACATGAATGTGTGCGTTGTTAGTATGGTAGCCAGTCGATATTGACACCACATCCACACTGAGTCAGTTCCTTTTTTTTATTGCTGTCATTGCTGTACCATCCCAGGTTGTGTCTTACACCCAATGATATACAGATGAGAAGGAGCCACATTCTAAGACTAATTTTATTTTTGGGGAAAAGAGGAGTTCAAACAACCCTCTATCAGTACTGCAACATACAACCCCCAGCCCAAACCCATCTACCTCAAGGTCTAGCCACTCAATGTATCAACAAACCCTTTGCAGAGCAAACCATACCAAACCACTGAAGCACCATATTCATTTCCTACACTCATTCAGGCATTTAACTTTGATCACTTGTCATCTCCCTCTGTTCATTTCATTAACTAGTTCATTTCCCTGAGCACACCTTGTCACGGCTGAGTTCACAGGTCAACTCATTAACCTTTGACCTTCATTGGACCATGACAGAGGGACAGAGATAACCGTGGAATCTCTCTGACATGGGTCTTCATTAGCTTAGTCTACGTCTTTATCGTAGACTAAACCATTGAATGTTATATCCTGACCTACACCCGTGAATTACATCAATCAGTCATTTTTGTTTACAGTGAAAGCTGCTGTATGAGACCATAATCTGTCAATATCCTTTCACAAAGATAACATCATCCTACATGGATGCCCTTTTCAAATTTATCACATAAAGACTGGCTAGTGAAATGGTGTTGTTATGGGCAACAGTGGAGAGGATTTATGATTATGGTCATGCCGAAGACGAGCTAGGCAGTATAACCAGCAGTGTGCATTTCTGTTCAGGCTTCTGCATGGACAGCTAAAACAGGACCCCCACTTGCTTTCCAGTTGCTTTAACAGTGATAGCAGATTGCCTCAGTGCAAGTGAAGCAGGAGCAGATAAAGAGCCCTCTGTCTCTCTGATAACAGCCAAAAACCATGGTGAGTGATTTGCTTTATATTGTAGCTTCTCTATGTTATCAGAGGACGCTGCTTTGAGCCACATGCCAACTGTATTCTGTCTGACACACCTGTTGGCGTACTGTATTGTTAAATTGTTTTCAATAGATAATGAAGCAATATGAGTTGTTATTGTGCCAAAAATAATATTTGAAGAACAGAATACTGAGTGAATGTTAGAACGAGATGGCACCTAAAGTGTATATATTTGTTGTTTTGCAATAAAAAAAATATTATTGTCCTGACAGGAACAGTCTATACAGCCAGTCATTGAATGAGATGAAGCCTCAGGTTATTGTCTGCCTGTGGTCAGTGTGCTGTTCCCCAAATCTGTCAGCGCTTCACAGATAGTGATAAAGAAGGTTAGCATGTTGCTAAGATACCTGTTGATGGCATTCTCCTTTATCAGCAATATCGGCTGCTTCATGGTGACATCTAGTTGCTTTGTCTCAACACACTAACAAATCATTTGGAGGCATTGACAAATCCTCTTACAAATCCCCCCCATTGAAGTATTATTTCAGTTGCCTGCCTTTCAATCTATTACACAAATTAATTGAAGATGAGTCATTTGCTCGTAGTATTATTGCACTCCGTAGCCTGTGCCTTTTCCGTTCACAATGCAGCTGACACAGTTAACCCTCCTTTTCGAAGTACCTTTCAGAATTCACTGAGTTTAAAGCTCATGTGATACCACATCATGTGTAAAGAGCTGTGGAATTCCATTGAAGTGATTAAGAGAAAGCAATGGAGCCTCCCACCGTTTTGAAAACCAGGGATGTTTTCAATTAGGGTGAAAGGTTCAGAATGTTGCAGAAATAAATTGTATTCAAATAGCTGACACAATCTCCAATTCTACATAACATATAATTGTACCTGTTCTACAAAACACATTTCTATCTGAACGTTCTGAACAGGCCCCAGGAATGCAATGCAACACTATTCATTCCAGATGGGCTTTTATGCAACCAATCACAGTTTTGCATTTGTGCAACTGCCCCATTCACATTGGCAGCCAGTGACTATTCGCTTTCCTCTTCCAGGCCAGTAAAATCCAGGGTTTGAGTGAGGAGGAGAGGGGGCACTTACTCCCCCTGCTCAGGAATGCCCAGTGGGTGGAGGTGGTGGGAAGGGATGCCATCTACAAAGAGTTCATCTTCAAAGACTTCAACCAGGTCAGAAAAGCTTTGCCAATATATTCAGTGCCCATATTCATAAAGTGTCTCAGAGTGCTGATCTAGGATCAGGTCCTCTCGGTCCATGTAATCTTACTCATTATGTTCTAAAAGTCCAGATTGATCCTAGATCAGTTTAATGGCTTTAGGGTATAAAACGCATGACTTGATTGTGACAATGTATAGTGTGCTACTTTATCTCACAGGCCTTTGGCTTCATGTCCAGGGTGGCACTACAAGCTGAGAAGATGGACCATCACCCAGAGTGGTTTAATGTGTACAACAAGGTATTTCAACAAGTCCCAGCCCAAGGCCCACTAGGATTGCCTGGGGTAAAAGAGATATAGACAAACCTGTTAGCATCACTAGATAGCATCACTAGTTGTGAAAGGGATGTCTCTCCATATGTCACTATAGCTGTAACAGGTGTATGTCCATTTACCCTGTCTTTCCTGCTGTCTCTCATCCTTATCCTCACTCAATTTATATTCTCTCCACCAGGTCCAGATCACACTCAGCACACATGACTGCGGGGGCCTCTCCCAGAGAGACATCACTCTGGCTACCTTCATCGACCAAGCATCTGTCCTCTGAGCAACTCATGGCCTGCAGCCATTTCAGTCTATCAGTTCCAACCATTTCAGTTTGTCATTTCAATGGCGGAACCCAGAGCAGAGGATGCCTATTCATCCCTCTCCATACGTTCATTCAGATGACTAACCTGGGACAGGAACAGGAAATGATCAAACAGGAAATTACGTCACAGAATCCCAATTAATGTTTGTTTAAAGGTCACTTTCAATTCATAATGTAACATTTAGCAGGTGTGGTGTTTGTTGCTAAACTGATGAAGCCAAATATATCTTTAAAATTTGCTTTTGTGGAAAGTGGATTTAAGAGCACAAGACCATAAGCCAGTAAAAAGAGCATTGGACTATATACAGTGGGGCCCGAAATTGCCACCCTTGATAAAGATTAGCAATAATGACTGTATAAAATAAATAATTCTAATACTGAGCTATATTGTATGGTCAAATAAATTGGGAAATTATATAATTTTATACTCATACAATTGCTCAGAAAAAAATAGATTTGGTTTAATAACAAAAAAACAATTCTACATTAATGTGGATGCTACCATGATTATGGATAATCCTGAATGAATTGTAAATAATGAGTGAGAAAGTTGCAGAGGGTCAAAGATCATACCCCCAAAACATGCTAACCTCCCCTATTATTGGTAATGGTGAGAGGTTAGCACATCTTGGGGGTATGGTCTTTGACCCTCTAACTTTCTCACTCATCATTATTCAAGATTCATTCAGGATTATCCGTAATCATGGTAGCATCCACATTAATGTAGAAGTATTTAGAAACATTATATTCTTATTTACAATAAGTGACTACAAAATTACACAATATTATCTCAAACACAACCAAAACAAACTGCAAATGCATCCAACAAGTTTGTAGAGTCACAGGCTTCATGTAGTCATGCGTGCTAGGAATATTGGACCAAATACTAAACTTATGACTACTTTATTTATAAGAATCTGTAGGGGTGTCAATCATTTGAACTCCTACCTTTTTGAAGAAAAATAGTATTACTTGCTAAACAAAATCTATTTTTCTGAGCAATTGTAGTAGTATAAAATAATAGCTCAGTATTTTAATTATTTATTTTAGTCAGTCATTATTGCTCATCTTTATCAAGTGTCAATTTCATCCCCACAGTATATGAAACATTCCTCTATCCCCAGCTGAGCGGATCCGTTACTGTAAAATCAAAAGCATTAAAGGTACATAATATGACTAGCTCTGACTATGAACCTTTGAAATCTGGGAAAAATTCCTTCACCTGTTCATTCCAGTTATTTTCTAAAATTATAGTGGCAACATTAACACTGTGTGTTTTGTTGTCAGTCTGTCTAGTCTACTTGTGACTACCATTTGTCTCACACTGTTTTCCTATGTCTAATGTTTTGTAAGTGGCAAATAAAGTTGTTTGAATAACCAGTACGTGTCTGTTTATTAATTTGTCCAAAGAGTGGTCTGCAGACAAATGGGGTCAGCCTCAGAATATTTCACCCCTCCTAGAAATCACAAGATTATAAACAAGGTTTCATCACATTGAACTTTTTTCTCTAAAAATAACATAAATGGAACAGCTGTTGTAGGCTTATTGAAAATGGTATGGTGCTTAGCTTCCTGCGTGCTGAAAGTATTTTTGGATCAATTGTGCTTAAAAGGAGTGTAGTCAAGGCCAACAAATGCTTTCAAATGGTGTTTCCTCTGGAATAATGAAGGATAGCAAACAATTACACAATAGTAAGGGGTGGATGTAGTGATTTGGAAGCCCCAGTTAGAGTACAGTATATAAAACATATTACTAGTATTATTTTTAATTATGCCCAGCTCACGAGATAGCTACAAACTCATGCCACTATATATTTTTATTTTCTAAACATTTAATTATATTTCAATAACAACATTTACATGTACAGTATAAAAGAGAACGGGACCTTACTGAACTTGATGTTATGAAGCCAAATCCCTGAGGCTGATCGTTACATAGAAATAGAATCTACATTCTTTAGAGATACATAGATTGTTGTTATGGATCTATTCATTGGCATTACCCAATAGCACTCATCAATCTGGCCTATAAAGGCATACAGGTAAATGCCTATTGCTGTGAAAATGATGCCCTTACAACATTAACAGAAGGCATGATTTTTTACCATACCTCCTAGGGGGCAAGGTGCTTCGTTAAGATTTTCACTGCACATTCGTAAAGTTTACAGATTCTCACTGTACAATTTACAGATTATATAATATGGTGGGGTAATCACTAAGCAGCAATTTCTCAAGTACTAATACTATCCCAATATTTTCCATAAGGACACGTACATGTTTCTATTGCAATTGAATATCATATCCTGGCTATTAAAATGTCACAAAATATTAGTGGATATTTCCCCATTGACAGCTCCACCGAAAAATAGACACCACAGGATGAATCCATTGTCAGGTCTTTGACAACTATGTGCCTTTTTCAGTGGTACTGTTTCCACTCTAGACTTACTGTATCTTTTCAGGTAATCCAGCTAGTGTCCTCAACTCCAGTCCTTGAGGGCCACCCTGTCTATTGGTTTTCATTCTTGCTATATAATCAAGCATTGGCGCTACAAAATCAATCAAAGAACAAACTAGCTAGACACTGCAGCCCTTGAGGACCGGAATTGACCTCCAAACTAGTGCTTACCCTGCAGTCAAAAATAAAAACACAATGGTTCAAGATAAGAAAACAAAAATAAAAATGACATGAGACAATTTGTGATTAATAAAAAATACAATAACACACAGTGGTTACATAGTCAATGCTTAAGAATGATACAACAGGACTAGGCTAAAAGTCATAATTCAATGGTTTGATTCAAATCATCATAACATTCATGTCAGACTATTTCCCTTCTTATGACTCCAGAAAGTGAAAACATCTGCGATACAGACATGGAAAGAAAACAGCTGATATGCACTTAAGTTTGACTACAAACACTAATGTGAATGCACATGGAAAATATTGAGGGGAAAGATCAAACTTTTTGGGGGGTTGCCTACCAAGTGTACAGTAGGGGTGTTTTTTTGCAAACTGTTTCATCCCAGTATCATTGCTTTTAAGAACAGTTTGCAGTTTCTCATATGCCATAACAGTTTAGTCTGAAAAGTTTAAACGTTACATAAGGCTTTTCCTGTCTTCTTTAGCCTTATAATGATGTTACTGGGTGAATAAGCAACACAATTGCATTGAACAGAAACTGAGGTAGATAAAATTAGAAGAGAAGTCAATTAATTTACTACAAGAACACATCAAAAACGATTACATCTGAGATTATGGAGACTTAAAAAAGCCTATAAAGATGCTGAAATAAGTTGTTTTCTGTTCCTTGAGATCAATTCTTGGCCAGAATATTCAATTCAAGACTAAACCATTGACTCAAAGAATAGAAGGGGATAATGAATATGTTGTCAAATCAGAGGATTGCAGTCTCAGATTCTTAACATATTGGCAGTGCAGAGTATACTAGTACTACAGCAGCCAGGGTTTCCTGCTGTCTGAATTATTACTGAAAGATGCAATTAGCCACAGATGGACCACAATTAGGAATATATGTATATATGCAATATAGTACAATAAGTGCCTAGGAAGGTAATGTGTTAAATTCAAAAGGAGCTCAAGTCTTAAATGATTAAAGTTGGTTGTCCTTACAAATCCATGCAGATATGATTGCTCCTCTATCATTCATTACTGTTCATTGCGTCATTATTTATTTCACTAGGAAATTACATTGATTTTCAGTTAAAACCGTTATTTGTTGTACATTAATCAAACAGAGACTGATTTAATCACTATGTTGTAAGTACCTGGAACATGAGTATTGAGAAGAAAATTGTGTTTTCTGATAGGGGGCAGTAGAGGGGTTTTCTCTGACATGATTGTGATCTTGCTCTCTCCAAACATTACTTGGAGGCTGAATTGTTTCTGATATAAAAAATTAAAAAAAGGTATCTAGAATATTTTCAATCACCACTTTAGATCGAGACAATTATGCGAGAGAGATATCAGGATATTGTAAATTAAAGAGTTCATAGCACCTAACTGAAACAGAAAATCTCGAGAAAGAACAGACATTGAAATGAAACTTGAATAAAACCGTCGTCAAGTGCTGAATAGAACTTTTTTTAAACCCACAACTGTATATTACATAAAGAAATCACAAAAACAGATCAAACCCTATCTGAATGGTTTGAGCTGCTATTCTACATATTTTACATGTGCTTTCACTTTCTACATATTTGAAAAACGTCACTTACGGTAGCTGAAAACAATGGCTTGTGCTTCAGAAGATATCTGCAAAAGGGTGAGTAGATAGATAAAAGGTGGGCAGGATAAGGCAACTGTTGAGTGATGCAGTGGATGGAGCAGAGGTGAAGCAAGCTGGTAACCAGGGCTGTGTTCATTAGGCACCAAATGGAAGAAAACACACTGAAACAGGGAGGGACTACCTGAACTTGTCTAATAAGAAACACTTATTTTCTTTTTACGATGCAAAACGTTTTACAACGCTTTCCATTGCGTGCCCTAATGAACATGACCCAGGTGTGTGTCCAGGCCACAGCCAGCCTACTCAGTGGGCCTTGCCGTTGCTGTTGCCATTTATATGGGTCTTCTGGGGCTGAGATGACTTGGGCTCCTCTGTGCTGTAGAGGCAGTCCAGGAAACCGCAGGAGATCTCTGTCACCATGGATCTGTCAGGGATGGACTGGGCCATGCCATAAATCGCTCCCTAGAACATGAACATATATGAATGTAGAGCCATGCATCCAATATGTTTGCATGTGAAGCCACTTTTATAAACATAAAATGAGTGAATAAACATATTTTGAAAAAAGTGTGAATAATAACCTCCAAAAATTTTTTTCATACAATTTATATTTTCTATTAGACTATTGGTGTACTGCTGTGAAGTGTATTCCAGGTAACGGAGTCAGCATTAACACTCACCATTCCAGTGGTCTTCTCATTGGGATTCTTCAAGATGAGAGCCACCTGCTCTTTGACCTCACTGATGAACTGTTTGGCCACACCTTCCTGTGTGTGTAGTACTGTACAACAGATATGGATGCTGCGGTGGGACAGAGAGAACGTTGTTTAAAAACACAAACATTATTCAAAATGGCGCTATGGTACCTGGGGTAGTGCTGCACGATTAATCGAATTCAGATCCAAATTGCAATACTGAAATGTGCAATATCTCAAGAGGCTGTGATTTTCTCCTTTCTTTGACACTAGACTACCGTACCTCCTCCAACGAGATTCGCTAGACTCTGTTCATTCACTCTCTACATGCACAGATGATGCTGACCAATCACAAGCGGCCTCACTCTCTGCACGGCATGCACATGCTGGCCAATCACAAGTATACCTGCTTAGAGCACGCAGTTAGTTGCTGGTGAGGAGAGAAAGGGCTTTAACAAATAAAGTACAGTATAGGGTTGCCATGTCTGTGATTTTCTTGAAAATTGGGCTACTCTGAAAACGATGTCGTGGGTGAAAATGTATTCGTTGTGGGTTTGCGGATTTTTGGGCTACTTCTAAATTGCCCTGCGGCCGCCATGGCATTTCTCTTAAAAATATATAAATTTCACTGTAACCTGCTCCTGATGACTATCAGGCAGTGAGGCAGGCTGTTGCTTAGTGAGTGTGTGAGTGAGTGAGTGAGTGAGTGAAAGGTGGGGAGGGAGGGAGGGTGAGGACCGGTGGGGTGTGTGTTGAGCACAGTCATTGGCGTTGAGAGAGCGCTGCAGCAGGCAGTCATGACAAGTGATGTGAGAACAACAAACAAATTAACTAGCACTAGCTAGCTACATACTTTCTCCTCATAATTCTTGTTTGCCTCGTTCGTTGTTTCCTGACCGCCCCCCAGTCCTACCGATCATTACTAGAGCCAACACAGCAAGGGTGAGAAACTGAGAAATAATTGTCTAAACTGATTCAGAGAGGGAGACATAGAGGATTGAACAATGTGTTTCTTTCTGGGTATGTAGACAGGGCTTGAAATGAAGGTCGTCCCGGGGATGATAAAAAAAAAAGATCTGGGAAGGTTCAAACAGACTCTGGGACAGTTCTGTACACCCCCCCCCCCCCAAAAAAAATGTTTTTTTATGTAATATGCCTTTCTCTCCGCTCGTGACCATTTGATCTGAACCAACCATGCCTCGAGCATGTCAACTGAATCAAGCCTTTAGACGTTAATGTTAACCAACATTCTAATTGTCAAACATGACTGGCGTTTAGCCTATATTTATGTAATTAAAAGTCCCATTAAAGTTTGACTACATTTTCTGGAGCCTCCCTCACGTCAGCATCGGTGTGGACATGAGGCTGTAGCAATATGCATATAACCCAAGCTACACTTTTACATGTAGGCTAATTATTTATGTACATTTATGCAAAATATTATTCCAACGTTGGCCTTTATAGAGGCAAGGGGGTGAATTTCTGCTTCAGTTGCCAGCCCCATGTATCTATTTCAGTAGTAGGCTACTATTATTAGCCTTTTAAATCACTGTGAATTACCTAGGTCCTATGAGTAAAGCCATGTTTGCATAGCAAAACATAAAAATAAAAATAAATTGCACTTTGGGAACAATTCTGGGACGGTGATGAAAAAAGTTATTCTCGAGCCCTGTGTGTAGCAAGCTAGCTAGCTAACATTGGCCAGAAAGTTGAAGTCAGACGAGAGTGGCGCGATTAACTCCATTACTGGACACACCTACTCATTCAAGGGTTTTTCTTTATTTTTACTATTTTCTACATTGTAGAATAATAGTGAAGACATCAAAACTAGGAAATAATACACATGGAATCATGTAGTAACCCAAAAAGTGTTAAAGAAATATATTTTAGATTTTAGATTCTTCAAAGTAGCCACCCTTTGCATTGATGACAGCTTTGCACACTCTTGGCATTCTCTCAACCAGCTTTGGCCTGGGGGGCTTTACTTGGCTCATCGCGCTCTAGCGACTCCTTGTGGCGGGCCGGGTGCCTGCAGACTGACTTCGGTCGTCAGTTGAACGGTGTTTCCTCCGACACATTGGTGCATCCTGGCTTCCGGGTTAAGCGAGTGGGTGTTAAGAGGCGTGGTTTGGCGGGTCATGTTTCAAGCCCATTGGGGAGTTGCAGCGATGAGACAAGATCGTAATCACGAAATTGGGGAGAAAAATGGGTTAAAAATTACAATGTACTGATGTATCTCCTCTCTCTCTTTCCTTTTAATCTTGCCTCAGAGGGATGGATGACTGGGAGATTAGGCCACACATTGACATTTTTTATGAAATAAAAGAAAACGAAAACAAAACTGCTGGGGGTTTTCCATTTTTATACCACTGCGCCATATCTACAGAAATAAGTCAGATCCTGCTTGTGTTGCCTGTTTGAGTGTTTGTTTTATAGCCTACTGATTCACGGAACCACAATGTCGCATAGACAAATTAAAAAATGTGTCTGTTTCTAATCTTTGCTATGCTGTAATAAAAGGCTTTACACTTTTTTTTTTCGTTAAAAAAGCCTCTCTGGTATTACTTATAATTTATTTAGTGTTGTTTACACCGTTCCAAATTGTCAGAATTGTTTTATTTATAACAAATAACCCTCCTTTTTCTTGATCTCCTTATTATAATTACTATGAATATGAGCATCATTATAATAAGTCATGTCGTTATCATTAGTAGGTTTAGTATAGCAGCCTTGTATAACCCCCATTGAGCTGTAGGCCTAAGAGCGCATCCTGTTTAAACTTAATACCGGAACTTACTTAGCTCTATATTTCAATACTTATATAGGCTACTGTATCAATCAATCATTAGTTCGTTCATGTCATCACACAGCATACGAGTCACTCATGATTTGAAATGCATTTTAGGCCCTATTGGTCACGTGCATGTGATGCTTACATGTGTCACATAAAGAGAGCAAGTGTTGAGGTAATGTTTTTCCTAAACAAATGAGGGATTTCGGTAACATAACTTTTTTTTTTTTTTTAACACAGCGCAGCAAGTCTGAGCCTGGCCCAGCACAATCAAATCAATCGCTGGTCGGACTCCCTCTAGTCATTTGTGTTTCTTCATTATTTAATCAAATAGTGCGCTTAAAGCATCAGACAAGCTCAGTTAGCGCTGTGGCGGTCATTACATTTTGTCAGCCGGTTACTGTCATGCAAAAGACTGCCGGTCTCACAGTAATTGACCGTTAATTAACATAAACATGTATAGCATCTCCAGGGCTCCACACATACAAGCTGCTGATGCTTGCCTTTGTAACATTACATTTTAATAAGTCTAATAAATCAATTTAATAAACATCATACCAACAAATCTATTATTTATTTTAGGTAGGTCTAAAGAAACATGATATGAAGAAAATGTATGAGTTGGCTTATTACTGTATGTTATCTGGCTATGCTCCATGTCATAGGCTGTAGGCTTGTTCATTTAGCAGACAAGATATGCTTATAAGTCCCGTGTATGTATTTTATAGTAAGAAGAATATAATTGAACTTAGCTGAATAAAATAGAAAGGATATTTTTCCCATTCCGGAGCTGTGTGTGAAAGTGATCATTTGAAACAGGTCCTATAGGCTACGCTAGATTTAGCGTTATTTGGCAACTTTAGATGTTAATGATACAAACCTTAGGATGTCTTAGAAATCAAAACATATATGGGCTGCATGATGTGACTATAGGCTATTGATGATTTGAGAGTCACAAAAAAAGCTTGCGCTCGGTTCCTTGCCTCAGGCTGCACACACTGTTCTCTCATCAAGTGATCATATTATCACCATCAGACTATTATCAATTTAATATTGTCTTTACTAATATATTAAACTAGTTTCGATTTAGAATGGCCCATTATCAAATGAGCAGGAACAGGGGCAGGGGAAAAAAGACGTCATCCCGCCTATGCACTCAAATAGCGAATGGAAGCCGCTTTCCCGCTGTTGGTTCGGGTAGGCTACTCCAAACATCCACCACTGTTTGAGGAGCATGCGCGACAGGTGATATTCCGCCCAAACTCTGTATGCCATGGGCTCCCCAACCCTGTTCCTGCAGCTACCCAGTGCTTCATTTGGGAAACCACGTGAAATCTGTTCGGGAACATCAAAAGTAACATGTTTTCACAAGGAAACATAATTCATTAAACTGTTGACAGCTCCTCTCTGCGCGCTTGAGAAAGTAATGAAGCAGAAAGGGGAGGAGATTGAAACGCACGGTGGTGAGATATTCTGTAGCTAAAGGTGGTCTAATGTGTCACCCTATTAATTATGAAATTATATAAACATTCCCTATTACTAACTAGGCTATTCAAAACTAAATTCACTATTGTAGGCTAAACCTGTAAGCCGCCCTGCACAATCAATGAACCAACAGCATCGCCTAGGCCTATACGTTCTCTCCCAGACTCATGAATAGAAACTTTGGAGTGTAGCGTAAGGTAACCAGTCCATCCAGTATGCATAATAATACAATCCACACTAAAAGGCGATTACTAGAATTTGTTTAATTTTGGAATATAGGCTAGACCAATTAAAGACATCTTAAATCAGCTTTTTTAAAATGTTTTTCGGCAGCGGTGCGTAATTTACATGTATTGTATAACGAACTTCACAATCATTATTTTAATTCAGTTTTTCTTCAGGCTTGGGCTCATATATAGGCCTATGCGTATGTATAAGCTCGAATATGTGTATGGGTGTTTTGAATGAATCATCATCTTAGAAAGCGCTGTCAATTTCATTGCGTTAGGCTTTGAAACAAAATTCACAACGACCATGTTTTCCACTCAGTTTCAACCTGTTGTTGAACTTCTTTCTTCAAATTGATCAATGACAGTGAGGTGAGTTTTAAATACTGTTTTGATGATAAGTGTTTGTGATGTAATGTGATGTGATTTTCGATTTCATTGATGTCAGAGTGGTTAGAAGGACAATAGAGCCCTGAATACCAGGCCATTAGCGAGTTGGGTACTACCAACGCATGTCCTGAGTGCATAAAAGGAGATTACCGTGGTATTCAGGGTAATACAGTCACTGCAACAGCCCTAAACTCAGTGCATTTGTTGATTTGATTAAAACACATAGGATGTGTCTATATATGGAAAAATACACGTTTAAAAATGTTGACCAATCGATTGGTCAAAATTTTAAACTGTGTATTTTTCCATATAGACACATCCTATGTGTTTGGGTGTTTTGAATTAATCATCACCTTAAAAAGCGCTGTCCATTTCAATTCATTGTCAGGCTTTGAAACAAAATCCACAATGACCATGTTTTCCACTCAGTTTCAACCACTCAGTTTCAACAGACTGACTGACTCTTGGTCGACCAATATTTGTTTTTAGTCGGGGACAGCCCTAATGGAGTAAAATGTACATATATTTTCTTTAGGAATGTAGTGGAGTAAAAGTAAAAGTTGTAAAAAAAATATAAAATAGTAAAGTAAAGTACAGATACCCCAAAAAACAACTTAAGTTGTACTTCGATGTATTTTTACTTAAGTAACCTTACACCACAAAAAAGCGCCCGACAGCAGCAAAGCCCCTCAGCCACAACCAGCCACCTACGTTAAACAGGCATTGATTGCCGATGCGTTTTCAAGTGTAACGTCCTACGAAAAAACATCCCGCAGACGCAGATAAATCACTGAGGCGATCACCTATCACAAAGCCAAAGACATGGTTCCTATTTACACATTCAGCAAAGACGGCTTCAAGAAGATGATAAACAAGCTGGACAGGAGATACAAGATTCCAACACTGTCTAACAAAATGAAGGGAGAAGTTGAAACATGTCACATTGATTTACTGGACCAGACTCCAATGTTTTGGACAGGATTCACCTTGCAATCGGTAGGCTACGTGTTATGTTTTTAAGGCACTTTAGACATTTCATTTCAATTATAATAATAATTAAGCCTACTTATACATATTTACACAATCATACGTTTCCTATTCCATCTGCAGCCTATGGCTGCCTGAATAAATAATTAATTTAGGTTATTTAAGAACTCAATGGTAAAATAGGAACTCATAATTCATTAACTGTAGCACACCATATTTTGATGACCATGTTAAACATTTAGGTTTGTTAATATGTAGGTGGAATAATCCTATCTAGCCTATAACAATGTTGGAAAATATGTGTTTCATCTGGTTGTGTATTCAGGTAGCACAGTATGTATTCATTCATACGATCTCATTTTAGAAGTGATGTTCTCTATCCTGACAATTGTTTTAACCATGGCTGATGGAATTACCAAGTTTTCACCCAAGTGTTTGAAAATCACAATTAGATATTTTGTCCACATCATGCAGCTCTAGCTTGGCGGACTTTGTTTGCTGGTATTACTTCAGCATTCAGTGCATAGTCAATATTCTATGAAAGGTATACATTATAATTGATAAGTATGACTGAATTTCAAATATGTGAAAATGTTTAGGAAAACATACCTGGATGGATACTGTAGCGTGTTGAGATTCCAACCCTTTGACGTCAGTGCGTTGGATAAACGGAAGATGTCGAAGACGTCAGAGCCTATTGCCACCACCGACACTTCAGGGTCTCCAAACACAAACACTCCGTCTATCTTACGGATTCTGTCCGGAAATAAACGAAACAAAAACACTTCAAATATTTATCTTATCCAAAAACATTGAGATCTCAATGTGCTTGCCAAGAGCTCTTAGAAACAGCGAAATCTAACAATATTCTGGGCCTGTTGTAAATAGGTTAAAAGATGGTTTCGGAAACCAACAGAAAGCGAATCAACCAAGCAAACTTGATGAAAAAAAAACGACCATAATGTTTCTGATTGTACCTATAATAGTTTCGCTTTACCACATATCCAAGTCTTGTTTAGTGAGAAAGCCGGAAATCAAGGCTGATAATAACTACAGTAAAAGATGGGTCTCTTACTCTGTCTTGATGGTGCGTGCAGTGTCAATGATCTTCTTGGTAGTCTTTATGTAGCCATCTTCTCCCATGTACATCATGGTGGCCCAGCACGCTGCGATGATACCTCCTGGCCGAGAACCTGCCACTGATGGGGACGCATAGATGCCCCCCTGCCAGTCTGGAGCCACAAAGTACTGGTAGTGCCTGTACTTCTTGTCACTATACAGGATCACTGATGAACCTTTGGGGGCGAAGCCATACTAGAGTAGAGGTAGATCAAAAAACAATAACAAGTCAATCCCATAACCAGTCAACCCCATAACCAGTCAACACAACAACCAGTCAACACCATAACCAAAAAAACGACATGTTTATGGAACAATGAGCATCTTATGATTGAAAATCAAGAGGGAGAAAATGTTAGGTAGGACTGTCTGGGATCCACACCCTGTTCTTACCTTGTGTGTGTCTGCAGAGATGCTGGTCACACCCTTTACCCTGAAGTCAAAGGGAGCCAGTGGGTAATTGGCTTTGGCCATGAACACAATGAGAAACCCTCCCAAACAAGCATCCACGTGCAGAGGGAGGTTGTACTTTACAGCCAGCTGAAAAACACCATGTGGGACGGATTAGGTCATTTAAGGTACTATGCAACAACAGTGTTACTACACAGGTATACAAGCAACTTAATGTTAAGAATGACCAGTTTTTCCAATACATTTCCCCATGACTTTCCTTTTACTATGAGAAGTAGATAACAATGACAAGCTTTACCTTTCCTACTTCCTCAATAGGATCAATGATTCCATGGGGGAACTGGGGTGCGGAGCACACAAGCATGGCTGTGTTCTTGTTGATGGCTCTCCTCATAGCCTATACAGAACAACTAGGAGTTATCAGGAGTTCAAGGCGTCATGATATTGCTTTAAGACAAATGATTATGGTGATGATAAGTCTAATCCACCCTCACTAAGAACCAGTCATTCTAAAGTCATTGTTGCCACCATGTTTTTTTGTAGGGCCGGGACGATACCAGTATTGCGATACTGGCAAGGAAACAAAACAAAGCAGATTGAACTTCTTTAGGAAAACGGCCCTAATGTTGGAAACAAACATCATTATGTTGTTATCCAGAGTCACATTTATTTGTTTTTTGCCAAGCTATAGCACACAATATTTTAGGTTTGCAGGTTTTTAATGTTTGCCATGGATAAAATAATGAGATACAGGTATCGTCACAGCCCTAGTTTTTTATAACTATTGTAATGTCTGAAATTGTAATCTTTAACAGTCCAAATCGAGGAAGAGTTCCCCAGTCAGTGACGGCAGTGACAGTCATTAGTTACAGTAGTGTCACGTTGCAAGACATCACACCGTATTCTCGTTACCTAGACTAGGCTGGGGTCACGGCAACAGTTACAATTGGGAATTTGTAAACCAACAAACCTACATTTACTCTGACCTTTTGTGTATTGAGCACGGACTGACTTTCCAGTCAAGTTATTCTTTAGAATAACCATTAATATAGGAACTAATAAATATTTGCACCTGAACATCCACTTTCAAGGTCTTCTTGTCCAGGGGAATATGAACAAGCTTCATTCCAAAGTAGTTTGCTGCTTTGTCAAAGGCTGCATGGACACTGACTGGTGCAATGCTGCAAAATGAGGGGAGGAAATAAAACACAAATTATTCCCTGTATCGTATAAAATGTATTTCACAGGTGATATAACCATTATGTGTAGCCATAATTACCATTTATGAGAAAGCAAACATTTCAAGCATGCAAATCAAGCTTGTTCTGAGAACATTTTGTGTGCCAAGAATAAAAATCATCTGGGGCTATATTTTGACAGTGAACTCACATTTCAGGATGTTTCACACCCCGCTCATAGGCCATGTCTCTGTACGCCTTGCATGCCATCAATATGCTTTCAGTTCCTCCGGAGGTGACCTGGACAAAGCAGAAACAGCAGCAACAATCAGCGTTCAAAATATGCCGGTGCATACGTTTGGATTATTCTCTTGAGAAGAACATTTCCCAAACCCTAGGTCAGTGAGTCTTGTGGGAGTACTGAAGGTAAACTCACTGTGCCACAAGAGTTGGGCCCACCGTTGAAGAGGGTACACGCCATTCTCACAATCTCTGCCTCCATCTTCCTCACACCAGGAAAGAGGTCTGGGTGAAGTGGGTTGCTCCATGCAAAGTCTCCATACACCTAGCGACAAAAAGAAGAATATAAAAAGAGAATCACTAAGCGATGAGATTTGACATATAAACAAGGATAAACAAGGGATATTCAGACTGTAGTATGAGCTTTAAATTAAAAAATGTATTACTCAAAATTCTACACACAGCTGTTTAACTTGATTGTTCATTCAAAGAATTCAAGACAAAACAAAGACTATGGTTTTGTGGACTAGACATACTTTCACCAAAAGTTTGGTAAGTGTCTGATCTCCCCAGTACACTGCGCCTGAAACTCGTCCTTTCTCCCAATCCACTTCATCTGTGAAGAGCAGACAACAGCAATACCTCAGGAAATGACTACGGTATATATTGTAATTTCACAACTTTCCCTACAAATAAAACCAATGCTAAAAACAGCAGGCACACTTGTCAAAACATTTGTCACATTTTCTTGGATAGAAGTAGCAAGTAGGTCATTGGCTCCATAATAAGCCATTATATTATGCCATTACATTATATTATATTATTGCTCCACAAAAAAAAAAAAAATCATTTTCTAGGATATAGCCAATACAATATATATAGGGCAGTAGGGTACTGTAGGTCAACGGCCCCATATGGCTACCAAGACTAATGCATGCTCCAGAACCTGCTCTGGGACAACTCTCAGCCACTTACTCAGTGTTTGATACTCTCTGATTCTGTCTAGAACTTCAACTTGGGTTAGCCCTTGTTCAGGCAGCTGTTTGGTATAGCTCATACCCTCCTTCAGTGTGCAAAGACTGAGAGACATGTCAGCCAGGGCCTTGTTCAGCTGGGTCTGGATCTGTTGCAAAGAGACACTGAGTTAGTCACACTACGCACATCACCGCTCAGACAACACAAACCATTTCCAAGGAGCAGGGACCCATTATGGCATTGAGGAGGACGTTTAGGCTACAGCACTCTGGCGTTCACAACTTATCTAAAAGTGTTTTCGGAAATATAGAAAATATATGAAAGCAATCAAAACCAGCTAGTTGTGAACGTATAGGTGATAGCATGCCAGGAAGATCTGGGCTATCCAAATATGTTTGTGGCTAGAGAGCATTCAAAATATGTAAATGTAGATTTCACCATCTCATTAAAGTGTAGCCTATTCACACTCTTCAGTTAAATATGGATTTAGTCATTCTGTAATGACCAACACTAACCCAGCATTATCACCAGTCCATGATGTAAACCGTGTTAAAGGTCTTAACCCCCCCTCCTCCCTCCCTCCCTCCCGCATGCCGACACTCAAGTCATCACTGAGTGACTCATACCACGCTAGACTAGGAAGAGTCAGAACACATCTGTGGAATAGAGGAACACAATAACCGCTTGAAACTTACTGTCGCGCCAACAAAGGGTATTTTTCTGATGAGTCGAAAGCACTGCTTCTTGATTCGGGATGTCAGGGCTATTAAGCAACAAAGAAAGAGGCGATTGAGCTGAAAATAACAGTAGATGAGAAGCACAGGAGAAAACCACAAGCTGAATTCAATGGGGAATGTTTATATGAATAAAACAGCTGCTTGGAAAGGGCAGTCAAATCAAAAAGGCCAACAGCTGGCGTACAAGCTAATACTGGAACATATTTCCTGCCAACATTCCTGCCAAATGAAATTGTGTACAGCAAGTTACTGCCATCAACAACAACAAAAAACAAATCGTAATTTCCACTGATTTGGAATATAAATATCACCGATCTGTAGGATTCTAGAAAATGCACAGACATCAGTGAGAACAGTAACATGTCTGGACATGTCTATGTCACTTGTAATAACTGTAAAACAGCTGTAAACTGTACAAAGAGAGACAAACTGAAGTGTGGAGCAAGAACAAAAACAGCAACTGCAAGTTCAAACATATTTAAAATTGTTGGCCAGCAATATCGAGTGCTTTAACTGATCACAGAGACACACCGAAATTGTTTTGTCAGCTGATCATTGCTCACAATGGTATCAGAAAGAAGTATTCAAGCCCATACAGGGATTGACATTAAGGGTTGTCCTATTGCCCGGGGCAAGTGACCTGAGCAGTTGCCCAAGTTGAATCTGCTCTGAGGTTGCCCCATTGGGCAGGTGATTTATTTTTACTGACAACAACCAAATTACAAAGAAATCCAGTAGTCTGGACTCTCTGTTTCCTCCCCTGTGTGTAGGTGAAAATAGCGACTTAAAAATATCGGGCAAGTGATCATAATCTTCGGCCAACCCAAAAATACTCCTGACATGCCCAACGGGTGAGGGCCTTTCAGACCTTAATGTCAATCCCTGCCATACTTCGGGTCCAACTCTTGGTGCTTTAATGCTGACACCTTCCCGAGTCCCAATTCTCAACCTTTCTATCAGTCATTGGATTGATGTAAGCATGAGCTAGAGAGAGTTTACACCAGTCCTTTCCTTTTAAATCCACGAGGGGAAGTGAATAACTGCACACTCATTCAGACGGGTAATGAATCATGAAGCAGCATGTCTGATTAAACCAAAAACCACTTTTCATCATGTAGAACACATAAACACCCATTCATAACATTTTCCCCATGCATTTGATACACACGTGCCTCATTCCATCATCTGAAAACTTACTTTCTTGCTGAAACAGGAAGCCTTTGACCCAGACTGCTCCTAGGGTCGAGATGAGAGTAGCTCCAATGATCTGCCATGGTTCCAGCTCCTCGCAGTTGGTGTTCACAAGCCGCCTGCCTTCCTCCAGGTAGAGCAATAGCATCTCCTTGTACACCTCCAAGGCACTCTAGGAACGTAGCGAGATGACATTGTTAATTTCCAATTGTAGATCCATCTGTACTGCTATGCAACGTATAAGGATTTTCTGGAGGGTCCTGGGGACTACATGCATATCGATAAAACTGCTGAGGAGAAGAACAAGAAGATGGTCACGACTAAACACCCACTTTGTTTTAAAGATCATACAAAAGTAAAGCTTTCATCCTATGGTGTCTTGTTTAGGGTTGAATACTTCCCACTAAAATATGTTACAGCTAGGCCTGATGAAAACAGCAAACCAGAGTGGCTATATTCACTATACAAGACAACGTTTGTTGTGACAAAGCCATCAGTAGAGTTGAAAATGCAATGGAAACCCATTCAACTTGTTGTTGTTTTTTTTCTCGGTACATGGGAATTTAACTGCAAACTATTTTTGGAGCTCTATTTAAAATGTTGGAATCAAATTAGGTCCGCTATAGCTCGAAATGATTAACACAGCTGTTCACTTGTGAGAGATGCGAAGACAGCACAAATTGTGCTTTTATTTTTAAAAATGTATGGATGCCACCCAGTGTTCTCATAATCACCCCCTATCTTTGATAAACACAGATATTAAACTGATTTCCAAAATGATGTCGTCATCCCATCGAGACGTACTTATTTATCCTTAGCTATTTTTATTATCCATGGAACCCCTGACCCAGGCAATTTGTCAATATAAATAAATAACACAAATTTGCCAAAAATCTACTGATCACTTCATCTCATTATACATGGACGATATTTTACTATATCTAGACAATGCATCTCAAACCGCTCCCAAACACATTGAAGATCATAGATAAATTCAGCTTCATCTCAAGTTATAAAATGTATCTAACCAAATCAGCCCTACTGCCTCTCAAGACCCCGATGGAGGACTCCATCTCTACTTATGGAATCTCAAATGTTTCCCATTTAAAATATTTGGTAGTAGATATATTTCCATCCTTAGATAAAACCACTGCCAGAAACTTTAACAGTAGATGGACTAACATCCCAGTTGCTTTAACCGGCAGAATATCTATTGTAAAAATAAATATATTGCCAAGGCTAAATTTCTGTAGTTCAACCCATCCGTGTCTCCTCCTTCTGGTTATTGGGATAAAATCCATAGAGTGGTTTCAAATTTTATATGGCAAGGTAAGCAAACCCAGATAAAATGAACAAACTTACAAAGGAGGAAATAAGTAGGAAGACTATCTGTACCAAATTTTTAATTATATTTCCAGACATTAGCAATATCTCCTATTGCCCTGGAATAGATGGTCTTCACTAATATTTCCCTTAAACCAGGGATCATCAAATAGATTCAGCCGCGGGCCAATTTTTTATTGAGCGGATGGACGGGGGGCCGGAACATAATTAAGCAATAAGGCACGAGGGGGTGTGGTCTATGGCCAATATACCACAGCTAAGGGCTGTTCTTACGCACGACGCAACGCGGAGTGCCTGGATACAGCCCTTATCCGTGGTATATTGGCCATATACCACAAACCCCCAAGGTGCCTTATTGCTATTATAAACTGGTTACCAACGTAATTAGAACAGAAAAAATATACATACCCGTGGCATATGGTATGATATACCACGGCTGTCAGGCAATCAGCATTCAGGGCTCGAACCAGCCAGTTTACAATTACAAATAATTTGATGACTGCAAATTGACTGCAAGAAGCCCAAACAGATATAATGTTTGACTAAAACAATCATATCAAACCTTGCTTACATTTGTTTATGATCACGTGTCTCTCTATTGTGCGTGGGAATACTTGGGAACAGATTTCTTACATTAAAATCACTTGGAGCTCATTTTATTGTGTATTGCTGTAAGTAAGCATTTCACTGTAATGTCTGCACCTGTTGTATTCGGCGCATGTGGCCAATAAAATTTGATTTGATTTGATGTATTATTGTTTTTGCTCAGAAAACTTGGGGGGCCAAATAAAAACATTTGGCCCGCGGGCCGTCAGTTGGGGAACCCTGTCTTAAACAAAGTAAACAATGATTTGTTCCTATTATTGCTCACACAATCTCTATTTGCCACAAAATTTAAAAACAATCTAACTGGGAATCAAAATGGTATGACCATACTCCCAATATTTCACAAGAATGCCTTTTGCATCCCCCTGAATGGTCCAAATGTGGAGTCCATACACTTACCCATATCATGGACAATAATGGTTTGAGAACATTCCAAGATTTGAAAGACACACATTACCAGGCAACTCTTTGTTCTATATTTACAACTTAGGTCAGTTTAGGTCAGTCCACAGATCTAAGTGAATCTGAACAACCCTTTAACTGGACCAGAATATGGAAAAATATGACCTTGGCATGCCGTAATCTGAATCATCAACTCATACATTTTGTGTTTGTTCACAGACTGTATTTAAAGCAAAGGAAATGTGTCCCCTAAATTAGGTAGGCACATTCCTTCATATGATGTGGAGTGCCTTGCAGTTAAATGCTTCTGGGACAAAGTTACAAAATTCATTTAGAAGTGCATGAATGTTAATATTCAAATGCTTTCCATCTATTATGTTACTTAATGATGATAGCTCCTTGAATCTCTCAATCAATCAGACAGAGTATTTCTGTTTGTAATAAAGCCCTTTTGTGGGGAAAAACTCCCTATGCCCTCCAAGGCCCACCAATGGCTGCACCCCTGCCCGGTCATGTGAAATCCATAGATTAGGCCTAATGAATTTATTTCAATTGACTGATTTCCTAAAATGACCTGTAACTCAGTAAAATCATTGAAATTGTTGCATATATTTTTTTAAATATTTTTGTTCAGTAAACAATTGTCACAAAAACAAGTTATTTTTGTGTGCACTGTCAGCACGCACAGCCTTTTATCTCCAACAAGTCAATTTGAAACATCTCTGGTGGGAAAATGCGCATATTGTTTTAATGCGGATTTTAGAATATTCACATAACAATCTGTCGACAATTGGATGGAAACCTAGCTACAGACACCGACTGTCACCGCATATCATCGTCAATTAATCACATGAGTAATCATGTCCCCAATAGCAGATTTACATCCCATGCACAAAATCGAAATGACAACAACTTAGAACAATGTCACAATGCAATTCCCTCATAATCAATTGACATCACACTTTCCATCATATAAAGTTGAATACAACATCAGTCAACTTTAATCTTTGCGAAAGTAGAAATACAATAAACCAACAAGTAATAAGTCTACTAATGACGAGTACTTACACCAGAAGACTCTGTCATCGTGCTATGGTTCAATTTCGATCCCTCTGTAGAAACGTGGCACAATTGCAGTTGCGAAAATTACATCAGAGAGGTAAAGTGACTAGTGTAATCTGTTACTCCAAAGTTCGACTAGTCATTAGACTGAAAGGTAGCTCATTTTCCACAACCAGGAGGGGTGGAGGAATAGGAGTCAGCTGACTACACTCTGCCCTTATCACCCATTAGACATAACATCTATAGCCAATGGAGGAGAAAAACCTCAGAAACACTTCCTCCCCAAACAAATGAATTTGGTGTGTTAATTCAAGTGCAGAGGAAGTGCAATAAGATGATACTGCAAGTTGTGCATGTTATCATCTCAAAACAAATTACTATCTGATAGACGGATCACTAACGTATTCCAAATACAGTAAGTAAGGAATACACTATTTTAGGTGTGGAATATTGAAAAACTGCTCATATAATATCTGCATTTGACAAATTAAGCCTATTTCCAAACCAGTGGCCATAGTAAAATGATTCATTAATTACATGAGTGCAGTAAAAATGGGTATATCTATTATGTCACCATCACTGCTTTTTACAACACTCTGCTTTTCTGCTTGATAACAATAAATATTGTATCCATGTAGGTTCACTGTAATCAGATAGGGAAAAGCTTAAGGTCCACAGGACAGTAACTTGAATAACCACTATTCCTAACCACTGAAACTAACATCGCATAATGCTTTGGGGGGAAAATATCAAAAAGGTACTGGTTATGCATTCCAGTGACATCATGCAAGCGAACCATGCTCAACGCAGAGTATTTGTATGCAATGCAAACACTTTTAGTGACTTCGTTTGAAATGTAGGCTTTGATTGACTGACTAACTACTTGCTTAAGTGGAATCACGTCAATCCAGGTCTAGTAGTCACAGCAACAAAAAGAAAACAGTAAAATAAAATAATAGACATAAAAAGGTGTACATAAGAGTACTGACAGTACTTAAGCCTATAGTAATGACAAACTCACATTCTACAATGAATTAACCTGAATGGAAGCTTTGCCATTCAATCACAAGAATACACCCCCTGACGACAGTTGTTAGGTTTACTTGTCTGTGTAACATGCTCTCCGACAGGTTTGCCAGGGTTAGCCAGGTAGAGCAGAGTTGGGAGCAACGGGAGAAACATACTATGTGACCAGATTGGCAGCTAATCTGAATGCCTTTTCATAGGATTAGGCTTCATTCTCCATCTAAAAATGGTGAAATAACAAACATTGTCAGGAATATTTTGAAATATGTATGCAAAAGCTGTAGTTCCCTTGGAGTTCAGTGGTTCTGTAGCACAGACAGCAGAGCTGAGCAAATGTGAGTTTCTATATGCCATAAACTGGAGAGATTAAATGGTGTTATCTTGCGTCAGGGCAAAAGGAAAGTCCTATTGCAACAGATATATGAACCCTTTGCCACGTACGTACTCTTTGTTATCCAACACATTTCTGTCTGACATTTTTCAACTAACATACTTTGCCCGTTACAAAACATTTTTCACGGCCGTCTTTGCATTGGGGGAAATAATGAAGTGCTGAAGCCCGCCTTCACGCTTATTTTGTTCTCCCTATTGTTGTGTAAAACGCCCATGCATCCGTTTTCCCAGGCCAACTGTATTCTGTAAGGAGACCTTTGTTGTCTCCAAGGGGAGGTCGTATTTCTCATGGAAATGTACTGGGTGTGAGGAGGAGGCTACTGCTAGGAGAGACATCATGGGGAAAACAGTGTGATAATCCACATTAGCATCAACACTGGCTTGGCAAACACATTCTATGAATTCTAAGGTCTGTATCTTCTGGAAAATAAAATTCAAATAATCCAGTGAAATACCAACATCTGAGCGTCAACCATCAACATTGAGTTCATTCGTGGTCTAGCGGTTAGGGCCGCTGCCTTCAGTGCGCACTTATAGATCTACCGTGGGTTCGATTCCGGCACAGGCACATCTGTCACAAACAACTCAATAAGATATGGACAGTCCAGGGATATTTGACCCCCGATCTTGATAACAAATGACTATACCAGACACTTTTATTTTAAAGACAGTTGTATTTAATGCATAACATCAATAGGAAACAAATTCAACAATAACAGTAGGCTACACCAACAGTTTCCATTCATACAAAGGGTTGGGTAAACAGCCACAGTAGAGGAATGAGGAACTACTTTATTTCAATTGTACGGAATGCTTGTCAAATAGATAAATCGCCCTTAGTCTGTTCAAAAAGGTCCACGTTTTTCGGATGATAACACTAACCAGAAGGCGAACATACACTACATTACCAAAAGTATGTATGTGGACACCTGCTCGTTGAAACTCTCTTTCCAAATTCACGGGCATTAATATGGAGATGGTCCCCCCCTTTGCTGCTATAACAGCCGCCACTCTTCTGGGAAGGCTTTCCACTAGATGTTGAAACATTGCTGCGGGGACTTGCTTCCATTCAGCCACAAGAGCATGAGTGAGGTCGGGCACTGATGTTGGGTGATTAGGCCTGGCTCGCAGTCAGTGTTCCAATTCATTCCAAAGGTGTTCGATGGGGTTGAGGTCAGGGCTCTGGCAGGCCAGTCAAGTTCTTCCACACCGATCTTGACAAACTATTTCTGTATGGACCTCACTTTGTGTCCCGGGGCATTGTCATGTTGAAACAGGAAGGGGCTTCCCCAAACTGTTGCCACAAAGTTGGAAGCACAGAATCGTCTAGAATGTAATTGTATGCTGTAGTGTTTAGATTTCCCTTCACTGGAACTAAGGGGCCTGAACCATGAAAAACAGCCACAGATCATTATTCCTCCTACACCAAACTTTACAGTTGCCACTATGCATTGGGACAGGTAGCGTTCTCCAGGCATCCGCCAAACCCAGATTCGTCCGTCAGACTGCCAGATGGTGAAGCGTGATTCATCACTCCAGAGAACGCGTTTCCACTGCTCCAGAGTCCAATGGCGGAGAGCTTTACACCACTCCAGCCGACGCTTGGCATTGCGCATGGTGATCTTAGGCTTGTGTGTGGCTGCTCGGTCATGGAAACCCATTTCATGAAGCTCCCGATGAACAGTTCTTGTGCTGACGTTGCTTCCAGAGGCAGTTTGGAACTCAGCAGTGAGTGTTGCAACCGAGGACAGATGATTTCTACGTGTTACTCGCTTCAGCACTCGGCGGTCCCGTTGTGTGGCCTACAACTTCGCGGCCGAGCCGTTGTTGCTCCTAGACGTTTCCACTTCACAATAACAGCACTTACAGTTGACCGGGGCAGCTCTAGCAGGGCAGAAATTTGACGAACTGACTTGTTGGAAAGGTGGCATCCTATGACAATGCCAGGTTGAAAGTCACTGAGCTTTTCAGTAAGGCCATTCTACTGCCAATGTTTGTGTACAGAGATTGCATGGCCGTGTGCTCGATTTTATACACCAGTCAGCAACGGGTGTGGCTGAAATAGCCAAATCCACTAATTTGAAGGGGTGTACACATACACTATATATACATAAGTGTCTTGAAAGACTTTGGTTGCAAGCAGGACTTAGGTAAACCCGACATCATATTTTCGGAAGCGGCAATGCGGTAACCAATAATGGTTGCAATTGAAATCAGCTGTGCGGGTGAATTTTGAGCCTATTGATGGTTTAACGAGGCATTACGATAATATAGTGCCATCGATGGTTGCAATAGGCCCTTTGTTATTTTATTATATTCCAATAGGCTACATTCTGTAGACTACCCGTTAGCCTATCCATTGCACAAAATGAAAGGTGTGAAAAAGTTGATGAGCTGATTTGGCCATCAGTTGAGTGACAGATGTAGGCCTACAGTAGAACGATAAAGTTTCCTCCAGTGTGGATGCTCGCCCACGTTTTATAGTTAGGCTGTGTATAATTTGTCAATATAATTATGGTATTTTGAGTGGATGGCCCTTACAGTAGGTGAGATTTCCATTGCTAAACTGTTATGCGCCGGCTACAGTAGCATAGACCTACTGTACTTTCAGTTTGATGCCGGCATTTTGAAGTAGTTCTTGTTGTGGATTGACAGCCTGTATTGTGTGGCTCTACTATTTCATTTTGAAAAACTGTCAAGATGTTTATGCATTTGAGCCTATCCAAATACGATTTAGTTGAGTCGAGACACTTTTCTTTGATGTATAAATCATCAGACTATTTGTTTTACTTTAAGTCAATGCAATTAACTTGTGGGCCTAATGGAGGCTATAGGCCAGGGATCATCAACTAGATTTTTTCTTGAGCGGAAGGTCGTGGTCGAAAAAAAGGTTGGAAGGTCAAAAAAAATGTACGATCAGTGTGCGAGTCAAAACTGAAAGGACAAATGCATTCGAGGCTTAACATTTTTCCACCTCAAAATCTCCAAACTGAATCTCAGCATACAGAGTTTATTTTCTATTTCTTTGTCGCTAACTTCCTACAATTCACCACATTTTGCCATGGGGCAAAGAGAAAAATGTTGCAGTTTTAAAGCTAATTTTCAGCAATTCTACACATATTGTCAAGGGGCAGAGAGAAAAATGTGCAGTTTTATAGCTAATCTCATGCTATTCAACACATTGAGGCTGAGAGAAATTTGCATTTTTAAAGCCAATTCTAAACATTTTTGCCATGGGTTATGATGTTTTCATATGCTGTCTAGGGATGGGTTTGGGGCCCCCAGAGCCCAGGGAAGACGTGGCAAAGACAGGGAAGATAGGGGAGTCAAAAGGGCAGAGGGCCGGATTCGAACTCTGGTATACAGTGGGGAGAACAAGTATTTGATACACTGCCGATTTTGCAGGTTTTCCTACTTACAAAGCATGTAGAGGTCTGTAATTTTTTATCATAGTACACTTCAACTGTGAGAGATGGAATCTAAAACAAAAATCCAAAAAATCACATTGTATGATTTTTAAGTAATTCATTTGCATTTTATTGCATGACATAAGTATTTGATACATCAGAAAAGCAGAACTTAATATTTGGTACAGAAACCTTTGTTTGCAATTACAGAGATCATACGTTTCCTGTAGGTCTTGACCAGGTTTGCACACACTGCAGCAGGGATTTTGGCCCACTCCTCCATACAGACCTGCTCCAGATCCTTCAGGTT